GTGTGTAGCTCACACATCGAGTGTCATAGATAACCGATGATATGTTACTGTTCTTGTTACGAAAGATGGGCACTAGGCTTCGATGAAAATGCCGCAATCTATCAGAGACAATGACTCAGCGTTCACATCCTAAATTACCATGTCTTCTCTGTTCTCCGTTTATCTTTCTTTTTACATTCGTCACCATTCTTTCGTACTGTTTTCTTTTCTTCCTTCACAATCATCGTAGGGTCAGATCTTTTTGACACTCGATTAGTGGAACACCCACTCTATACGACACTAAGTTGTCACCCACTCTATACGACACGCAGTTGTCATCACGTCAAACGACTGTCCGTACACACCCTAAGCCGACCGGCGTCGTCAACCATGTACTGTGGTAGTCAACCAATTTAAGGTGTGTTCAAGCTTTTTTGGGCCCCTTATTGTGGATGTGCGCACTGAGACGTTGATAGCACAATGACGAAGAGTCGGCCACTCACTGTTGTTGATAGATTCACGGTCCTTCATATTACATGCCAACAGCGTTTTTCAGATCTTCCAGCTGACATATCTATCTAATTACAGTCATGCAGTAGGGTCGTCGGTATGGCGCAGGTAAACAGATTACGTTGCTGCTTGGGTTCGATGTTCTGTTCAGCCGCAATGACATTTAACGCGTCACCATTCAAGTATGACTTGTATTGATATGCATCATTAGTTGAGTTGGTTTAAAAATGAATTTGAGCGCTACATAATTGGTGGTTTGGTTTACTCACAAGTTTGTGTACATCAAGGACCAACTCTGTACCAAGTTCTCTATACCCTTTGTGAATTCAAAGTAGATGTCGTTCTGCACTTGCACCCAGTACCTTCGACTAGGGTGCGCTGACCTTGATCGGATAACTTAATTACTGTTGCTATGTTATAAGTGCTCATGCTTATCGGGTTGTCACGGTGCCTATGCTGTCATGGACACACAGCTGTTGCTGGCCAGTTCCCTGTCGCTCGCCTTTACGATGGTCAATGTAAGCTCGTTGCTGGGCTTCTGTTTTTTATGTCTCGTGACGACATCACGGAAGCGCCATTGGTACCTCTGCTTTAGCTAGCTTCTGTCTGTTCATGTCGCTTGCTGGCCTTATTTGCTTGTAGTTGTTGTTTTGTCCATAGCTGTCTTGTTTCCATGAATAAAAATGCGATTTCACTCTTCGTACAATAATAATTCTTTGTGTCTGTCCAATAATCTTGTACACGTTGTTGACCTCTAGACATTAATGCCATTTCTCAATCATTGTGCCTTTGCTCTCTTCTTCCACCCAACATGTTTATAATCACAAAACAGTATACCCCCTTTCATTGCACATCCGTTAACAAAATTTTTGGGAATGGAAAAAATAACATGGTAAATTTCAAACCCCCGTTTATCTCACTTTCAATGTATCATCCAGGGTTAATCGCGTTTTAATACAAAGTGTTCTTTCATATATGCTTTGAAGAAATTAGGCACTGCACATTATTAGTTTCGGTTGAGTCAGCGAATATTTTAAAAGACAAAAAAGAAAGCTATCTAAAGAGCTTTGTCTAGCAAACAGTTTTTCTTATAGCTTGCCGCGTAATTGCCGTAGTTCAGAAGGGAGACTAGGTATAATATCTTCATCTCCAAAAAGTTACTTTGATATTCATGAACAAGTTATCGTCGATCTTATATTTATAAAATATTTTAATAGAAAACAAACATCCACCCTTCTCCTTATGACTTCAAGTTCTTTATAGAATAAATCTTTTAAAAGCATAGGCATAACATATAAGTAACAGAGATATGCCTATCCTTGTATATAACGTTTTTTCTGATTTTCAGTGATACTACTGGGTGGCAAGCAGTCGCTGTTTTACCAAATGCTTCTTGGTCTCCCATTGTCTCTTCTTTTGGTGCATATTTTATTATTATGTATGTGGGAAAAAGTCAATACAGCCAGAAAATGTATTGGATAATGGGCTATGCGAATTACGATTCCTATATTGTGACAACTTCATGAGCGTTGGTAGTCTATGTAGCATTAAGATGCGTCTTGATAACGAATATCCGTACACAGCTATTGTGTCCTAGCATCCGTTGACTTTCACTATTATCATTTGGGAATTTCAAGTTGGAAATTAACGGGTGTCCTGATCTCGTTCCTGTATTATTTCCGCTACATGCTACATATCCTCTTATCGCCCTGTCAGCTCCTCATCATACACATTCACGCTCTCGAAATAAAAGCTCCCGTTGCCTTTCTTCATAGCCCTCGCTATAAACACTATCTCTTTTGTTTGCCATACACGCTTTGCCCTGATCACCGCCTATAACGCCATCCCCCCCCCCAATACTTTTCACTTAGTGCCCAATCTCAACTTTCCAAACTTCCTAAGTCAACTTTGCTCTGCTCTTCTTGTACTTCATTTTCATCTTAGTAACTTATCCAACCTCATTTTTTTCTAAAACCACAAGAAAATCCGCAAAGATATTGAACATTTTCCTTTTCCGGTGCTTTTCTGGAAAATTCTCTTGTTTGTGTTTATACATCCTTCCAAAACAATTTCGCTTCTACTGTTTTTCCACTGCTTCAACACTTTTGCCGATTTGCTATGTTGGGGGACCACTGTATACTTTTGCTTCAGGAAAAAACGTGCTAGTACACAAGTCGCTTTGTTATGTACGTCGGTTTATGTGACTCACAGACAGGTTCCATGTATCAGCAGCACGACATGCTTACTTTTTTCTCCTGTCCTACTTTTTTTATCCCTCCTTCCGCCTTCACACAAACGAAAAGACCTATATCTTCTCATTATACTGGCGTTAAGAAAAAGGTTATTCTAAACTAGCGTGGCAGTCTACTTGTTGTATCCAACAAGGCTGATAACACTCATTCTTTGTTCCGGCTTTAATGACTGCTGTTATTTCCCTCAAGATTTCACTAGCGTTCTATATGTATCGCATCAGATCGGATATTAGGGCCATGCGCACCCGATCCGGATATGCGGATGCACTGATGAAATTCGAATCCGCCGTATATTCCAAGATTGCGCAGGGATGAATGACAGCCTTCCGCTGTTTGCTCTCAGTCAACTAGATCACAACAATTGTTCGATAATGTGCTCCGATTGCTATCCCTATTCCGCTTCAAATGGTATTAACGTTCGCATTATCTATAATAAGAATGACCCCAGCAGAAACAAACAAGTTCGATGAATCAAACAAAGACAGTAACGTCGCCAATTTTAAAAAACAGTATCGGTAAGTTCAGAAACAATAAAACTGAACCCAACAACAAACGTTAATATTCTGGCCTTATTGATGGACGGAGCCACTGCAGCAAAGATACTGCAGGGCCATGCAACACCCTGAAGCGAATTAAAATATCGGAAGTTCTAGCTCGGCAAACTCTATGATGTAGAGCAGCTTACTGCCATGCAATGGGCCAGAGATGCTTGGGAGTTAGTCTCACAAGGAAAAATCAAAAATTGATGGGGTCACAAAGGATTGCTCGATGTAGAGACAGAAGAGGAAAAGAAGAATAGAGAGACTGCAGAAGAAGCTGAAAGGCTACTATCTGATGAGCTTGATGCCGCGAATTTGAATACTCGCGAGGAGACATGTGGCGTTGATGGTTTTGATGGTTTTGATTTGATACCACATGAAGAATCGGAGGGTATCCATGCACCAAATTCTTTCGACGACCTCGTTAACGATCTCTCTCTTCCTCCAAACCGTCTCCGAGCTCTCCTTCCTGCACCACATTCTTCTCCATCTCTTCTTTTTTCATTCGATCAACGATCTCCTATTGCTACTTCTCGTAGTACCATCTTTGAGCAGGACTAAGAGAGTCCAAATCCTTGCTCATGATGGCTTCTTCTCTTGCCAGTCGCGCCTCTTCATTCGCCTTTTGCGCCTCCTCCAGCATTTCTTCCAAAAGTCTCCTTCTCTTTTCTTCCTCGACGACCTCTAGACGGGCGAGCTTCAACTGTTCACCATCCAGGCTCTCGAGATCGTCATCTTCGGCGTGTCGTCTCTTCAAAGCCTTGGCTTTCTTGTTGCACATCCTTCTCGCCATCCACGGTGACCTCGTTGTCCTTGTCGCTGATGAACTTATATTTTTGCCCATCCTTCAGCAGAGACCAGCAATGAGCCATCTTGAATGGCTTATACCGTGCTTCAGCTTTGCTGTTGTACCTTTCGATGATGCGCTGTTCCTATTATGTGGACTTTCAGAAAGAAAGGAACTTCTCGAATCTGTTATATGCATATTATTATGCAAAAGACTACCTTGTCATCATCGGCCTCGCTACTTTTTGATGGCCCTCTCGATAAAGGCCACGGCCGCTGCATATCTCGCGATTTGCGCGCTGATGATTTCCCAACGACCTTCGGGGGTGCGGTTCTTGTCATTGCCGCCTTTTTAAACTCTTTAAGAACGCGTTGCCAAAACGGTTTGTAATCTTGGTTGATGCCAACTTTTTCATTCTTGTTGACGAGAAGATAGGCTTGGACCAAGAGCTGATCCTCGTCATTGCGCCACCAAGCACCTTTCGTCATTTTTTTGGTCGGCAGTTGCGACAGGGGAGGCAGCAGTAGCGATTCGGCTTGAGGAGAGGGTGGTTTCGCGGGGAGAAGTGAACGTAATCGTAGACATGGGATTGCTGTTGTCGTTGTTGGTGTTCATACTGTTTGGGAATTCTTTTTGAAAGAGAAGGGGGGTTTTACAGGAGCTTCAAAGATGATAATTTTACAGGGACCGGTGCGAAGACAGAAATGTAAAAAGACCTGTAAATCGGGTTTACAGGAATTTTAACAGGGTCCGTTGCGAATGCTCTTAGCCCGCACTGCTCTTGTGTCTTTTCGGAGGACGTGCATGATCGATGCTTTTGAAAGACCTTTGTATAAACCCATGTCGGACACGATTAAGCAGGGAAAGCAAAATGACAATGACAAACCCGTTTTGGATGTGTGACGAAAAGGAAACCGCGGTGATGAAAAGGGAATGTGTAGGAAAGTGACAAGCAGTGAACACAAAGGGAGCAGTTTCGTTATTCATCAAGAAAAATTACGTCAGAGAGTTTTCAAGTACCGACAGCGACGCGTCGCAACTACTGTACCTTTGTATTGGGTACTGTAAATTTTTACGTACTTCACCTTCCTTTTTTGGATTTTTACGTACTTAGCCTCCAAGTTTTTATGTACTTAGCCACTCAAGTACGTAAATCGGTTCTGACGCTGTATATTTGTACTATAAAATTTTACGTACTTCCTATTTGGGAATTTTACGTACTTGTCTTTTTTGTGCCTCGTTTGAGTAGATCATACAAATAGCTACCATTGATGTAGCCTATCATACTTTGACTCTGTATAACCGTCGCAGCTACGATGGCTACTGTAAATTTTTTACGTACTTCACCTTACTTTTTATGCAAAAAGTTACGTACTTGGCCACCGAAGTACATAAATGTTATAAACATTCTTCGACCTCTAGTAAGTGATCATCCTCAACCTCGTTGATGACATATTAAATCCCCATCTATCATCATCATCCGAATTATCGACCTTAATACCAATCTTTCCGTTTATTCACATCATTGATTTCTATAGTAAAGACATATATATATATATATCATAGTCTTTGAACGATAAAACATCAGTCAGTTGTCTTGTTTCCTCCCTATACCTTGTTCTTGTTTCTTCCCTCACTATCTGGTTTCCTACCTTCTGGCTTCCTTCTTGTCTTGTCCTGTTCTTGCCGAAAGCACCTAGCACATTCTCGTCCGGTGTTTCTGGCCTTGTGTTGTATTGTCCCTGTTCGCACCTTACAGTAAATCAGTTCTCGCGCTGTATATTTAACCTATAAAATTTTACGTACTTCTCATTTTGGAGTTACATACTTCCGATTTTACGTACCTGCTGTATATGATTTTTAAGTACCTTGAGCGCTTAAAGGACCATACATGTTGTTATTACTTTGAAGATTTTGTATATATAAAATATAATCACATTTCACGGAAGGGCAAGAAAGCCCACACTATGTTTTAAAGGTACGTAAAGGTTGATGTACGTAAAAATTGGTGTTAGTATGATTGTATGACTAGTGAGTGTAAGTAGTCAAGGAACGCGCTCAGAAAAAAGAGACCGGTTTTCCTGCCAGAGCGACTGCTTTACCTGCAATCGCCGAAAATGGAAGTACGTAAAAATTCGCGCACCCCTTTGTATTTGACAATTGCTCACCTACAACAATGGCCTCTGCATCTGATAGCCTTGGATACCTTGTCCGTGTCTTTCCCACCTACCCGACCGAAGTAGTTACAGAGACTTTTGACAACCAGCAACAACTTGACGAGTGGGTTAAAGAAAACCCTAAGCAGCATGCCAACTTCATCACCAACAACAAGTACTTCTCCGTACCCAAGGCTTCAGATGCACGCCGAAATAATGCCGGCCGTCCTCGGACAGTTGAACGTAGTATCACTTTTTTTTGTGATCACTAAAGAGAAACATCGGCTCCAGCTGTCCCTGCTCTGCCTATAGACTCAACTGAACCTGCTCCCATCAAAAAACGTCGACTTGCAAAACCATCTATTAAAGTAGATTGTCGTGCTCGATACCGTATTCAATACTTATTCTCAGGCAAAATCAAACTTGTATATCACTGGCAGCATCAACACCATGACCCTACCGAGATAACCAATGCTACTCGCTCACAACTCCCCGCTGAAACACGTAAATGGATCGAAGAACTTGTCAATAGCAAGTTGGAGTGGGATCAAATTCAGGAACATCTGCGTTTGACTGATAAACAACTTCAAAGTGTAAGTATCATCTATACATGTAAAGCAAAACTATGATGATAACTTGTAGAGATGCTAACCTGTGGTATCAGCTCGAGGAAGGCGAAGGACCGTTCCCGGAAGCCTTACGTGCAAAGCAGCATCATGTCATGAATATCATCGCCAACCAACAGTCAAGATTAGCAAGAAAAGATTTAATCGATAAAAAAGTGTAGTCAAGTGGCTTCTCTATCTAAAAGATCAAGGTTATCAGACGTTGGAATATATCACGGATTTTACTATTGTTGTTGCATGGATATCACCACGACAAGCTTTGGTAAGAAAAGACATATATTTAAATATAATGCAATGTTCGTATATTAAGATACGTATGTGCTCTATAGCTGCTCAAGAAATCAAATGAGATCTGTATTGATGCCACACACAAGACTTGCAAATCTATCATCAATGGTCGGGCTGATGCGTATCTGTTCTCTATCGTTGCTAAGCATACAGTTACTGGACAAGGTTACCTTCTTGCTTTTATGATCACAGATAAAGAAGATAGTGAAAATCTGCAAGTATGGTTCCGATGGCTCCGGGACAGAATGGAATACACACCAACAAGGATCATGATCGATTGCAGTCCATTTGAAACTAACAGCATCCGAGAAGTCTACGGTCATCAAGTTCATGTTCTTCTGTATCATTGGCACATCAAAAGAGCATGGTAAAAGCACATCACGTCCAAGGTACCTTTTAGTTAGCCACAATATCGTATATCAAAATAACCTTTTTGTTCAAATGTTGGGTTATAGATCAAAACTACTCTGTCAACAGCCGATACGAAGAAAACAAGAGATGAAGCTCGTTCTGCCCTTAATGCTTTGATGAATTGCAAAACCGTCGTTGAATTTGTGCAGTCTTGGTTAAAAATTGGCGGGATACATATGAGCATTTTATGGCTGTGTGTTGGACCATTGGCATCCTAAGCATCATCTTTGGTGCAAGGCTTGGAGAGAAGTACGTTTTAAGCTCGTTTTGGCTTTATTTTGCGCTTCAACATAATGCACGGTTGTATATTCTTTAGAATGCGTCCTTCCATACAAATAATCTGATCGAAGCTGGCATTCCAAACTTGATTTGCCCGTTTTGAGGGTTTCCCAGGTTTACGGTTTTTTAAGGGTTTTAAAGGGGGTTTCTTTCCTATGGTGGAAATGGAGACTTTTTTTATCGGCTGACGTGTACAATTCTTATCAGTATTTGTCATTGCATACTTGCGTCCTTTACTACTTCAACCAAACATTATTTTGCTCCACTTGCTGTTCTTGAAGGTTTACACCATAGATGTGAATACACATATGGTGTCTCTCCGTGTAAAGTAGGCTTGCCGGATAAAAATTTATCAAGGCGATGTTGTATGGCGAATACAGTATGAGCATTTTCGATTCCTTAGTCAGGTTCGGTACTGGTGGTATAATGATCAAATAAACTAGGATGATCATTGTGTATAGTATCTCAAGTAGAGCCGGCACATCATTTTACTTTAAGGATAAGCAAGTATGAACATTAGAGTTGAAGGTAGACGAAAGAAGCCTTGACAGAGTACTTACAAAGTTGACCGAAACACGTATGATAGGAGCATGAGAAAGAAAAAGAGAAAGAGCACAAGTGATAGCCTCAATAGTATTTTCGATGTTTCGGCAAAAGTTGCCACCTGCTACTAGTCCACGGCAATTGAGTTCTATTTTATTTTACTACTAGGTGCCACTGCTCAGAGCTCTCCGGGTCAGCTGATTATACTGTAGCTTATAAATCTACACTTGACGCATGAAGCCTACAAGTTCGTACTTTTCTGTAATCCAAAGGCATATCCTTGTGAGGGTCATTATCCAGGGCAATTTGCCATTTCCTTTTTTTATGAAAGTTTTACATAACGTGCCACTAGTTTTTTGTTACGTCCAACCATTCGTGAGATTGGAAAGATCTTCCAACCCAGTGTGATGTATGCCTTTATATTTAGAATACCCGTATTTTGACGAGATGGGACCATCGGTCGTATGTTGTGCCTGTATTATGGATGCCGAAAGATGAGAACCCACTTTAGCGTTTAAGCGCTTACAGTACTCCCTCTCAATGATCAGCGAATTCTTCATCCACCACAAGTACAGCAGCCACTCCTTCTTCGTTAGAGTCGCATGTGGCCCGAGCGAGCCCCACTCCTCCTATTTCTTTGAACGTACTATGAACATCCAAAAGCAGAAAAGTGTGAACCATGAACAGAGTCCAGAACGCTAATACAGTGCTCAAAAAGTTGACAACAGGTGTATTCAGTATAACAGATCGGTCGGCTCCCCCTAGCAGTTTGCCACAGAAAGTATATATATTTTATTTAAACCGGATGAGCAGCGATCCTTGAAGCTGACATCTAATCAAAACTTGAAAATCTTCTTGAGTTGATCCATTCAGTGTCATTGAAATGGTAAGCGTGGGCAGAATAAATGCTCAAAGCGACAAAAAGAGCAGGTCTGAAGCACTGTAGCCAGGCTGAGAACCAAATTTGGGGGAGGGACGGTTTGAAAATGTGCTTCGCACGCGCGTTTTAACGGTTCCTGAGTTCATACGATATACGGCGTCCATGTGAAGTTCTTGGGCTCCTACACAAAACAGAAGCCGAGGTTGGACCGCTTCGGTACAAGATGGTAATACGTCTTCTCGACTAAAAATGTCAATCCTCGTTGTTGCACCTATGAACCTTAACGACAGATGAATGGAATCGTTTTGCTATAAAAGCATCGTATTTTTTTTTCGTTTATTCCTTCTATCTCGCTTTACACACACACACACACGATCTCTCTCTCTCTCTCTTTTGATTTCATTTTCAACATTTTTCTAACTATCTCTTTCTTGTTGCATAATAACCGCGCCATACATAGCATACCTGGCACGCCCCCCTTCCAATTAAACCATGCAATTAATTCATCTTGTCCTGCTGCTGGCCTTGACGGCAAGTTGTGCACACGCCTTCTTTTTAGAAAGCTGGAGCTTTAAAAACTGGAACGATTACGCAGACGACAAATCAGACAGCACTGCAGCATGGCGCGAGGAGTGGAGCATTAACCGATGGTCCTGGCCTAGAAGCGGCGGCACTTCATACAACAACCACAGAATCGTTGACGATCCAGCTGGTGGCAGTGAAAAAGTGCTGCAGGTCACTTACCCAGTGGGAAGCAGCAATCCTGCAGGAAGTCCACAAGGCGGTATAGGATTTTATGCGCAGCCCATCACGCTGCGACGTGAAGCCAGACTTGTCTCTTTTGAATATCAGGTTTACTTTCCGGATTCATTCACATTTGTCAAGGGTAAGTCATCATCCTCTTCATGTATGCCATCGCTCGTCTTGGCCTCTCTTATTGTCACATTGATACTGAGACGTTGTTGCTGTATTGTTTAGGTGGTAAATTGCCAGGTCTTTACGGTGGCCATGAAGGATGCTCAGGAGGTTCTGATTCTGAGAGTTGCTTTTCTACCAGGTATATATCTATTACTACCGTCTTTTTGAACGAGAGAGCGATACCGCATATGCATGTCTTATGCTCATGTTGTGTCATGGATAAACCTGCATAGATTCATGTGGCGTCGTCAAGGTGATGGTGAAATCTATGCTTATATGCCTGAAAGCAAGCAGCGCGACACTCTTTGCGATGAAGAAGGAAACATTTGCAATCCCAACTATGGCTACAGTCTCGGCCGTGGCTCTTGGAGGTTCCAGAAGGGCGAATGGGTCAAGATCCGTCAAACCCTCAAACTGAATCACCCTGACAGATTGGATGGCATGGTGCACGTACACGTTAACGGGAGACTCGTCTATAGCGAAAACCAACTGGCATTGGTTGCTCGAGACACTGATAAGATCATTGGCGTTGGTATGTTGAGTTCTCAGCGCAATTGTTTTTGTTCTTCCCCGTGGTTTCGTTTTAAACACTCGTCGTTAATTGATCATCCTCGTTACCTGCTGTTTTTTTATAGCATTCCATACTTTCTTTGGTGGTTCTGGGATTGACTGGGCGCCCGAGGAAGAAATGTACACTTATTTTAAGGACTTTACCATTGCAGCATTCTATTAATTCCTATACTACATAGCCAAGTAAACGTCCACAATATATCACTCTGTCACATAAAAACTCTTAGTACATATCATCATCACGCATCGTCGATAAGCTGCACATGCTATCTTGATAGGCTGCTGCCTAATTTGTTGCAGGATCTAATAGCACGTCTATTCTTGTGAACTAACACACCCGAGCAATATATGAAATCGGACCATCGGTTACACTTTTGGAAATGAAGTACAAAAAGTGACTCTAACTCAGTAGTTTTTTAGTGCTGTTTCTCGTTAGTCAAATTTTCTTTCCAGGCTTGGTTGTTGCCCTCAACGCCAATCCCATTCTTTGTTACGTAACACCATGATTGGTTCCACAAAACATTAACTGAATTTCCAAGTGCGGGTCGACAATGCTGCCCATGGTTGGGAAGGGTGCGGGTAAGATTAAATATATGATGATGTTTCAATAATCTATAAAGTCGTTATCATACTGTAGCTTGGCAAAGAGAGCATTATACACGATGCGGGCATTGGCTCACATACACCCTCTTGTTCTCTCTATGATTTTGCGTAGTTTTTCCCTGGCTTGCGTACACAGCACACACCACTGCTTAAACCACCGCACTCATTGGTACGAGGGTTACCTGTCTGTACCAAGGTTGCCCATTGTGGTACGATTGCCCATATGTGGGCGGACCCCACACTTCACAGCGAAAAGAAAGAAGCTTTGTTGTTGTTACTCGCATTACCAGGTCAGGCAGGGCCTATACTGCTACATTCTCTGACGAAGGGAGAAAAACTAGGGCGCAGCACGACCCGGTAAAAAGGAATCCAGGTGCACCACGTCAATATAGCTCCACCTTGCTTCTCATACATTGAAGCCAAACAATTCATATAAATAATGACGAGCGAAATCGTATATGGAAACAGCCATCATAATAATTGTTGATGGTGCTGGACCTCAACAAGCAAATAAAGAAATCAGCAAAACGCCACGATCCTAGTCACTACAAGGCAGATTCAGGGTCCTGGGCAACCTCATATAAACATATAATTTAATGGAGTATATTAAATAAACGGGCGGCTCGGTTTTGCCAGTTGTTTGAGAAAACCTTACCTTGGGCATGCATGTGTTGAGCAAACAACGAGAACGAGGCTTTGTTCTCAACTGTATTTAACCATACGATGGTCACATCCATTTCTCCATACAAAAGCTATGTGAAGATAATGAGCGAAAAGAGCTTAAATCCTTCGTTTCAGTGTAGTTGTCGTACGTACACACTAAATGACCTGCTTTGCGTTTGTTATAATCATTCAGATGCCAGCGATTGTTTTTTTTATATGGACACATTAGTATCAACAAGTAAACGACGTTTTCACACCATCGTTATCACTGCTGATTGGCATATCGCCCTATATTTGATGGGTGCGCGAATTTTTACGTACTTCCATTTTCGGCGATTGCAGGTAAAGCAGTCGCTCTGGCAGGAAAACCGGTCTCTTTTTTCTGAGCGCGTTCCTTGACTACTTACACTCACTAGTCATACAATCATACTAACACCAATTTTTACGTACATCAACCTTTACGTACCTTTAAAACATAGTGTGGGCTTTCTTGCCCTTCCGTGAAATGTGATTATATTTTATATATACAAAATCTTCAAAGTAATAACAACATGTATGGTCCTTTAAGCGCTCAAGGTACTTAAAAATCATATACAGCAGGTACGTAAAATCGGAAGTATGTAACTCCAAAATGAGAAGTACGTAAAATTTTATAGGTTAAATATACAGCGCGAGAACTGATTTACTGTAAGGTGCGAACAGGGACAATACAACACAAGGCCAGAAACACCGGACGAGAATGTGCTAGGTGCTTTCGGCAAGAACAGGACAAGACAAGAAGGAAGCCAGAAGGTAGGAAACCAGATAGTGAGGGAAGAAACAAGAACAAGGTATAGGGAGGAAACAAGACAACTGACTGATGTTTTATCGTTCAAAGACTATGATATATATATATATATGTCTTTACTATAGAAATCAATGATGTGAATAAACGGAAAGATTGGTATTAAGGTCGATAATTCGGATGATGATGATAGATGGGGATTTAATATGTCATCAACGAGGTTGAGGATGATCACTTACTAGAGGTCGAAGAATGTTTATAACATTTATGTACTTCGGTGGCCAAGTACGTAACTTTTTGCATAAAAAGTAAGGTGAAGTACGTAAAAAATTTACAGTAGCCATCGTAGCTGCGACGGTTATACAGAGTCAAAGTATGATAGGCTACATCAATGGTAGCTATTTGTATGATCTACTCAAACGAGGCACAAAAAAGACAAGTACGTAAAATTCCCAAATAGGAAGTACGTAAAATTTTATAGTACAAATATACAGCGTCAGAACCGATTTACGTACTTGAGTGGCTAAGTACATAAAAACTTGGAGGCTAAGTACGTAAAAATCCAAAAAAGGAAGGTGAAGTACGTAAAAATTTACAGTACCCATATTTGATCAGTCTCCTTATTTTGTTCGTCTTGATGTCAATCTGTAACTAGACACCAACGACCTCCCTCTCTAGTAGCTCGCCTCGTCCATATCATATATAGCAGAAATAATAAGATCTGCATGCAAATCGGCCAGATGTATGTTAGAACCGTGTGTGCATCTAATCGATACTAAACAATGTGCAACTAAAAACGGTGGATTTTCTCATCGTCTATATGACCTCGTATAAAGGATAGGTAGAAAAAAGCCACACAGGATCATACTTTCCTGGAAAGCTTTGTTTGAAGTCCAGAGTCACTTGAGCAACCTTGCTTTCTTCTGGAAGCACAACAGAAATAAAACTAGTGAAAGAGAGAGAGCGTGTGTGTGTGTGTGTGGTATATCAGTTCCGCCGCGCCCCCTCTTTGTTTTCGCATTTGTGGAATTGCTGTTATGGCCACATGCTTGGATTGTGCTCAAGCCATCACGGCACTATAGTGCCGATTCTGTACTTCATATCCGCGAAAGGGAAGAACATTCCTTAGCAGTTACACATTCTATGCATTCACTCCTGTTTTCATAATGAGAGAAGAGTGGCAGTTCTTTTTACTTGCTTCTTCTTAATGTCGTAGTATAAGCGCGCTACCATCTTACTATGCATTTTTGCTTATTAACAGACATAATAGCTAACATTATATTGTCTTTTTATCTTTATGACTACTCTATCTGGGTGTAGGGAACGTACGTGGCTTTGTTGTGCGTGTGTGCAACACCTATAACAGTATTACTACGTGTGTGAAAAGTAAACCCGCATCCAGCACAGCAGCAGGGTCCTCGGATTCAAACCACGACATATCGTTTTTGTTCGCTAGATCATTACGCAAATGGTTTTGTCCTGTAAAGAATCAAGATGTTCACACATGCGCCCCACCCCCTCTCCCCCTACTATGGATAGATGGATAGAAGAGACAGCAGGGATGGATAATTCATTCTACCGACTGGTACCTGCATTAAACCATTGTTGTTGTTTACAAATGTTGTCAGCAACCCCTCTTGTATCACCCCTGAATTTGTGTATCTGGTGTTGATTCCGACACACCCTCAAAAATTACAAGTGACAGCTGCTTTCCCGTTATTTCCTTTACCACTACCTTCTCAAAAGCGTTGATGCTGTGCATATATGGGTGATCGACTTTATACGAATCGCACAACGTTAATCTCATTCTGTCTCGGATTCTCGGGAAGTGCACTTGGATTAGCGACTGCGCAATGGGGATTCCAAAACCACATGGACGAACAATTGTCGACATGGCGCGAAGCCATGCTACACATGCGACGAAGACTTGAGATTGGCGGCGGTGTTCCTTACCTTTTGCGTGACGAGGTATGTTTATACAGGAGAAAGAGAGTGATAGAGAGATAAAAGTCCATGAAGCACTCGACGTTTATTGTGTGTGGAAAATAATTACGTAGGAATTTGTGGCATATTGGGGTCAGCGTCCTATGCCTCGATATCGAAGACGCGAAGCCCAACGTGATGCATTTAAACGATGTTTGCAGCACGAATGGAACTGTGGTGTACGCGCTACAGCAACTTCCTTGAGCAATCTGCTTGCTAGACGCTATGAAAAATGATCCAAGCCCGAAAAGCAATGATTTCAATGTACATTTTATAATATCTAGTCTTCTTTGCTAGCTTGTACTATAATACTCCTAAAAGCAAATGTAAAATTATACATTTCACGACCCTCTCCTCCCGCCTCTTTATGGTAATCATAGTATTACCAGAGCCATCCTCCTGGAATGATAATTACAAGTGATTATCTATCTATAATAAACTTCTCTATTTGCTGATTTCGGTCAAATCAGCAGTTAACTGAGAAAAGTACCGTGACACACGGTGCTTATTATTATAGAAACGATGCTGGGAGAGGCTACCAAGGACACGTCTAATATGTATTTGTGTATCCATGTTAACGTCATAATCACCAAAATACGTACCTTTTTCCACAAGTACGTCTTGTCATCAATCACCACTATTTTCGATGTTTATATCTCTCGTTACTCTGCAGTGTACTTCTATGCCTTTACTCTATATGTATAGATACATTTCCCCGAAATATGCGATTTGAAATTGTTTGTGGTTTTCCACGCGTACTTCAATTAAAGTTCTCTATATGATAGGTGGTGCTCCTACAATTGTTTGGAGGGGAATAGTTTAAAGCCAGATGCTGTGCGTAAAGTAGAGCCGTCGAAGACTCGGACGCTTGAGGGTCTATAAAAAGAAGATTAGTATAAAAAACTATATATGATTCGAATGTTGTCAATTGCTTAATTGCTAGTAGCTGCGTGTTGATAATTCTCAAGCATCATCATGTATGCAATATCAACAGAAATCTCTCTATTACTTTACCCATTAGGTCCCTGTAAAAAGACACCAGATACGTCAAACATGTGGATCATTAGACAGTATGTATATGCAGTAACGCTTAATTTTTGTTTCCCTGCACAGCGGATGCAATAATGAAAGGAGAGGTCATATCAAGAAAGCGTGGTGAAATGTCAGTCTCCCACCATACAACATCGATAATTGGTGATGAATAGATAATTGGTTATAGATTTAGATAACTATGTACAATGATGCTCATTCTGACGTAAAGTATGCCTCGACATAGTAGAGCGGTAGTTGGAATGAGTGAAAGATACACTGTCGGTCTCCACACGATCATATGCTGTACTTTTGTGTAACCTTTTTTTATACTTTGAAGTTTATTTTTAAATCAGCATATTACACATCCTGGCAACAACCAAACAATTGAATTGAATAACTTTTCCCTCCTGTCAAGCCTCGCTTTGTCACAGACCTTGATGATAGCTGTGCACATTAGCAGCAGAAACAATGCGTATATAGCCACATAATATGTAGATGATGTTGCAACATGCCAGATGTTTTATTTATGTAGTGATGGATAGGTTCTACTTTCAGGTGCGAAATAACAAAGGAGGAAATAAGAACCAAAAGTGCATATATGTGAATTGTATATATCATAGAACAATTGAAATACAAGTAAATGAGGAAATAGAGAAGGACAATAATGATGAGGGATCATAGGGTAAATGAAGTAGGTACTAGGCGTAGTAGGAAATAGTAATTCAAGGATGATGAACGAAAAAGCAAAGAAGTGTAACTACATTGGGAAGAGAGTGTGTGCATAGTTGAAAAGCGTGAAGATGTTGGAAGTGCTGCTGTGTACAAGATGTACGTTGAATTGCTGCTGGTCGCGATGTTCAGTGTGTATGCTATTGTGTGTGTAGATGATAAAGGATGGGTCCTAACAACGATATGTTCGCTGCTTTTCGTACCGCCGAGCGATTGTATAGGCATATCCGCTGTACGTGATAGTCAATTCAGTTGCATCGACAAAGACTGGTTTTCCACCAAATGATGGGCAGTTGTGGATCCAGGAGCAACCGTTTTGCGACCATAATGCTTCAATGGACTGTTGCGTATATTGATCCAAGGGTGTCCAGTTTGATCCGGCACTGTAGACCCATTGTACTGCTGCGTTCGATCCGCGACTAACCATGATGATGACGTGAAATTGGAAAGAGTTTGCTAAAGCTGGCAGAGGATAATAGAAAAGAAGTGAAGATCAATCAAGCCGTCAAAAGCGGCGCGCTTTTTATAGCTTTCATGCGGAATGGAAGAAGGCGGGAGAACAAGAAGATAATTATAATTGCTTGTTGATACAATTGCTTCAGCCTCCTATCTCCTTGCAATTGCGCTACTAGCATCTTAAAGCGCGTATGGTGGCGTATTATGTCTCCCGGGCTATACTTTTTCTTTTCATCAGCCACCTTGACAACTCAGGCCACAAGTTCCTACATGCATTCCCCCTTTTATAAAAGCTCTGTGTCACATTCCTGCAAGATGCTATTTTTATACCAGCCTTTCAAAAATTTTGTGTTGCGGCGACACAAAGCCTAAATTATTTCATACTCCTAGGAGAACCCATATGTCGTCAACTGTTGCAACACAAAAGATAATGCAATTTAGTTCTCTTGACTTTAGCTATGCATCCGTGACAACCCATTTCGTGCCTTCGCTCAACGGATCTACCATCATCATCATTATTCTTACCTGAGGTTTGTTAATCTAATAGAGTAGCTCGTAGTGCCTTAACAAATATTGCTGCTAACATGTACTATTTGCCAATTGAGCAAAAAGAAGTAAGAGCATTGTGGCATTACAGAAAGGCCCAAGCCGCTTTATGCAGTTTACTATAGCATCAAAGGGCCTATCCCAATTAAGAAACAACCTTAATAATGGGTCAGTGAGGTTGCTATCAGACCATGCACAGCTGTAATAGCAATCAAGATTTAAAGTACCAACGCCACTTGGGTTTAGAATATTTACTTGTGCATCCCCTCCCGGCTCTACACCGTGCGCGCGCGCACAAAGAAAAAGATGTGGCGACCGAAATACGATTTTTGTTGTTGCTATTTTCGAACATTTACTTTAATTTCATTATCATACGCTTGGGTGTGTATGTGTGTGTGTGTGAATATTGGGGACAGCTTGTTACGCCAAGCAAGACGATATGATCAATAGAGAAAGAACTAGTGTTGGGGCGGCGAGAGATCGAGATCGATAATAACGTGACATTGTTACTATCTCGCTCTGAATATACCACATAGGTCGTCGCTGTTTGTCTTCTCTCGAAAGAAAAAAAAGATTTACTTTGACGTCAATTCTACTTTTTCCCTACTACATACTGCCTTGTTGGCAAGTGGCAGGGAACTTGCTGTTTGAAATTATTATTAGTCTGCCGTGCAAGCATATCAATTATACTGGTGCCACGCACACGCATTGTTCACAAAGCATCTGCCAAGAAGCTTTGTTGTTGCGATGGCAATTTTTTTCCTTGGCTATAGTATGGGTAAAATTTTGAGTGATGCGAGCGCATAACATTCGTGGGTCTATATATTGGAGTAATTTATCAAAGCTTCTGCTTCCGAGCTTTGTTGGTTTCACAAAGGGGGAAAAATCATCGCTGGGAGTTTTCTCTTGCGGTTTGACTTTTTCTACTTTTAAAACCACTGTATATATACCCTACCACATGAGCGAACATAAAGAACAAAAAGATGCGCCCAGCACCACCAAAGAACCAGGCACTGGCCCTGGCCGTCGAAAAACAGTGCGTAAGGGCATGTTTGCCAAAGATTGTAAGTGCATGCGTCTCGTTTGATCAAGTTTTTGGATCTTTTTTAGTTTCTGGTTGCTGTTCAGTCATGCTCACGATTATGGCGTGTAGTGAAACTATTAATGTACGGTTTTGGAGACGTTTCAAATCCGGCTTCAGATTCAGTTGCTGTCATGGACGATTTGGTTATTAATTACATTACCGAAATGGTAAGTAACAATTGGCCTTGCGTTTGCATGTTTCGCTCATAAGGTCTGACAAGTACAACTACTCTTTCTACAGTGTCAAGAAGCAGCTAAAGTAGCAGAGCACCGCGGCAAAGTACGTGTTGAGGATTTTAAATACGTTTTACGAAAGGACAAAAAGAAGATCGGTCGTGTCGAGGAGCTACTGTACATGAATGACGATATTCGACGAGCGAAGCAGCTGTTTGACGAGAAGGAAATGGATCCAGCGGATGAAGTAGCGTAAATATACCATGTAGTATCCTAAAAGCAAAGACGGACACTGCATATGTAGAAGAGGGATTGGGAGAGAATGATTTTCTTCCGTCTATATCAAACATCTTCTCTCTAGGTGAGGAGAGTGTCGTGTACATAGCAAATACAAAAACGAAAACATATAATAGCAATGCCATCTATTCCTTGATATCGTCACCATCGCCATTATTGCTATGGGTAGTTACATCTTTCTCTCTGTCATTGTCATTCTTGTCCTCTACTTTCTCCACAAGCTTATTGATCGATTCAACGCGCTCGCCGCATCTCAGACACGGCCACTCGTCACCGAAAACGGATAACTTGGTTTGGACACAGTAGTAGCAGTACACATGGCCACAATTTGTCTCGTACGGGTTATGCACCGTAAAGTCCTGCACTTGACCAGCAGGACCTGACTCAGCCGAGGATGCATTGTCATGGCAAATGGCACACTGGTTGGTTGGCAGTTGGTCGAAGCCTTTGGATGAGACCAGGTACGATTTGGGAAGCAGTGTTCTCATCATTCTGAGCTTAAGTTTCTCGACATTGATTAATGGTACCAAGAACAGCAAGAATTCCTACATGTCGAACGATATTTGAGGTTTAGCACAGCAAAAAATTGCCAGTTTTTACATGTGTAAATGCCTTTTACATACCGTAAATGCGTGCCAGACCATTTGTCTGTTTAAAAACTCAAAGCTGACTTGACGGTTTAAGGATTTCTTTGCATAGACCAGCCGCATTGCCAGAATCCGATCAATCAATGTCCGGTATTTACCGTTCCACAAAAAGATCAGAAAGTTTAGCAAAGAGAACGCCTTCCAGTACTTTTCGCCTGCTTGTAAAACTCGATAGACTTTGTTACGGATATCTGACTGTTTTTCTTTTGGCATTAGCCATCCACAAACCCACAGTTCTTCTGATTTCTTTTCTCTCTCACCTCATCAAGTTCGCCCCACCCTTGTGACGTGATGTATCTATTCGCTCGAGACCAAGCATACTGCCCGCCCACTGTGAATACGCCATATAGAATCTTTTGTGCTTGACTCAAGGGTGCGTCTTTCGCAATGGACTCCACTGTTTGTGGTAGTAGCAGTTTTAGTATCAAGATTTGCTGGCTTGTTGTTCTTGGATCCCAAACCCGAAAATTAAACTTACAGGCTCCACCATGCTTCCATTCATTTCTATATTTCAAATTTTGTAGTTGCGAGCCATATGTTGCACTTGAGTCATATACCGAGAGTTTAAATAAAAACAGGTTGAGAACTGCCAGCAGTTCCGGCTCGAACCGTTCTTTAAAAGTGGGCTATTGAATCATGTGTCTGTCAGTAAACATAGTGACAACACCATTCTGCAGCATACCAAAGGGGAACACAGAGAAAAAAAATGCTAATAGTATAACATACCTTGAATAGGGACAGTGCACTCCATAATTGATCTTTAAGGATTTGAAACAGCTCACTGTCGAGAATATCGGAATCAAGCTGACTCACTCGCATGACTTTGATGGGGGACGTCCGAGCTGTGGCCATGGACCGTCGTACTTTTTGTAATGCCGGTTGCAATGCACTCCAGCTTGCTGACCATTCTGGTTGCGGTGGTTGTGAGGGTGAGCGCAACATTTATAACAGTAGTACTAGTAATTGGGAGACAAAGGGATCAAGGTATATGTATATAATTCAAGATTACGAGAGACGGTATATTCTTCTCTCCTCCCCACATTTTTCAGCTGACAGAAATTGTCGGACTTTGCAGTGAGGCATTGTATCTTGGAAAAAGTATGTATTGACAGTTCGTTGACAATGAAAATAGAAAAAAATGGGCATCTAATAGTGTGAGTATGGGGAATAATAGTTAAGATAATAAGAATAATAACAATACAATGCTTTGATAACTAGGAATACAAAAAGAAAAGGGGTGGGGAATTTTAGCTTTTTTGCTGTTCTTAGGAACATCAAATCGAAGTAGTTTTAGTAGTTTAAAAGGCTATATTAGTATACATTATGAGCATGTTGCTTTTTCTTTCTTTTTACATTGCCCCTGTCGTAAATACAAGAGCAGCAGCCGCGCCTGCTTCAGCTCCAGAATTATCGTTGCCTCCTGGTCCACCAGGTCCACCAGGTCCACCGCTGTCTCCACGGAACTGACTGTCATCGTCGTCACCTCCGCCAGGGAAACCTTGACGCACGCGCATGCCTTCTTGACCGTACGACTTCTTCTTACCCATATTGTTAGTTTCTGGCGGGCATTCCTTTTTCGAGCTTTCGAAAGGCTGCGAAGGCAAGACATAGTAGATGTCCAAACGATCGCACTCGTCCTTGAGCTCCATCATAAAGTTGTTGTGACGAAGCCATCGATCGCCCAAGTCTTGCCAGTTCTTGTTGTGTTCAAAGTACATGGTGACAGTGATACGGTTCTGGTTTTCAAACGAGATAATGTTGGCAGTGGTGCCGTTGACATTGTATAAATGAGGGAATTGGTTGGTCCATTCCATCATATGATCACGCAAACGATGGATCTTCCAGGACGGTGTGGTAAATGCAATATGTATATCTATTTGGAAAAAAGAGTGTATTTTCTGTCAGAATCCATCCATTCATCCATGGTATACTGTAATTTTAAACTTACCAACTGTTTCGCCAGTGATGCCTGTTCGACGAACGTTGATGATATATTGTGTAGATAGTACAGAGTTTTTGGCGTATACAACAGAACCGTCCCATTTACTAACAGTGAAGGATGGCCGTCATGAGTTTGGTTGAATCATAGATGTAGATAATACAGATAGTAGATCGAACTTACATGAAGGTAGAGACCAACAGGCCGACCTGGTCAACAACCCAGTTCTCTTCGCCAATAAATACACGATCACCTGCATCGAAAGGATGCGTGACAAACACGAAAATGATCGATTCGAACGCATCTTTTGCGCTGTTACCAAAGACGAAACTAGCAGCAATGAAAGCACTCCACAAAGGCATAAGCTGTGTGCCTACATCGACACCGAACGAAGCACACACAATAATGACCTAAGCACGTAGAATAGAACATGGGTCAGCAAGGCAATGCACACAGTGCTGAAATACTTCTTTACTACAAGACATACCCAAATGGCGACAAAAATAACCAACAGAATGATATCTAGCTTGCCCGTTGCTTGCGACAGATCACGCATTGAAGTCGCCAAATTTTTCCGCTCTCTGTAGATTCTCACGCAAGCGGAGCGCAGCTCGCCCTTGTCGATAGAACCATTACCGTCGCGATCAAACAGCTGGAATGCAGACGCAGCTTCCTGATGGGTGCGGAAAAATGGATACAGGTCTTTTTCACTGATGCTATGTCGACCACTCGTGCCAACGATATTGTGAAAGATACGTTTTGCCAAAACCTTGGCCTGACGCGACGTGCCCTGTGGTGCCACAATATTGTTCGATTGAGAACGCAGTTTTTTAAACCCGCCTTTCAAGAGGCGACCAGGAATAGATGCGGTATTGTTAGTGGCCTTCAGGAACGACCGGTCGTCGCTTGGAAATGACATCCACGTGCTGGTACGCGTCAAGGGTGGAGGTGAATCGACTTGAGGAGGCGATGTCACCGACTGTTGCTGCTGCTTCTGCTGCTTTTTGTTGGCTTTAGCTTCACGGAGACGGCGGGTTAGGCTGGTAACAAAGTCAGACGAGCCGCGTCGATCTGTATCTTCATTACGCTGTTGCTGTTGTTGTTGTTGATGTTGCTCCTGTGGTATTTCGGGCGAGTAGGACTTTTCATCGATTTCCAGAATCTTTTCGTCGTCGGATCGTGATTCCAAAGCGGGAATAGCGATCAACGTATCCATGTTGTTCGTCGGAAAATGCACGTTGCCGCGACCCGTGCCGTCTTCGGCTCGCATGATGGATTGGGTCTGTCCTCCGTTCCCGTTCTCGTTTGCTTTCTTACTGTGTGGTGGCGATTCGTCTGTTGAGTTGGATCGACTCGTCTTTGCCGGTCGTTCTTTACTCCGTCGCATACGCTTGAAAATGAAATCCTGAGGTGCTTTTCGCTTGGTCTTTTTAAGACGATCCAGGATTTTGAGTGCATGATCGTTTTCACCAATGCGTTCACCGTATGCTTTCCTAAAAAAAGCAGTGTAGAGCAAGTTAGATACACATCCTGGATGTTTCTTTTGTTGTGCAAGGGCTTGGACCAATCGTCCTATTTGACTTACTTGTGAAAGGACGTGACTAGAGGAGGATGAGTGAAAAGAGGAGGGGACGGAAAAGAAAAAGTTAGCACGCACAAAAAGGTTAAATGGGGAAGGGGCGCGGAATACATTACCAATCAATTGCAGAACAAATTTCTCAATAAATAGCATTAGCGCCGCGAAAAAGACACACTGCCAGACACTGTAAAAGTCATCAACATAGTCAGGCCGATTCTGATCTGCTGGCAATGCAAGCTGGTTCCGGATGAATGCCCAGGAGCCCCAGTTCCAGGCTGATACAATGAGCGCCTTTAGAAACGGGCGCAAGGCCATATAATACTACAGCATACAATATATGCATGGTTAAATTGTCGGTCTTATGAATGCTCTGACGATGCTACCACTGCTGCAAAAAAAAAACCTTTACGTGTCGGTGTGGAACTTACAGCAAGGCGCATACGTAGCACTTCGGTTGACTGGGGTCGCAAGAAGCCAACCAGACGCTTGATGGCCCAGGGCACGAGTTCAACAACGAGCTGGATTAGGATACTGACACACCACATAAATGCGGCCCAGGTAAACCAAAGCTGCAGGTTGTAGGACACCATGGACGCGTCATTTTCGTAGGCAACAAAGACGGCAACATCGATGGCAATCAGAATCAAGGCAAACAGGATCAACAGTGACCACGCGATGTATGACGAGTTGCGCGATAAGCACAGCACAACGCCAGGCGGTTTGTGCGTTTTGGTCTTGTTCTTTTCGTTTTTTTCCTCTTCGTCGTCGTCTTCGCCACCAGCCCAGTCGAATTGATCGTGATCCGTGTAGTTTGTGACGAGAGCGTTGCCTGTTTGTATGAGGTCATGCACGAGTCAGAAAAAACAACAACATTATAGATCAACCCGCACCATGACAATAAAGAAACTTGCCTGCCAGTATTTCCAACGGAACTTGGGCCGGGATGTACCCCTCATCGTCAGTCGAGTTGCGAGATAACGTTGGGTCGTCTGTGGTATCATTTCTGTTGAGCGGTGGTCGTGGTGGATGTGTTTGACGTTCGCTAAAATCGGCTTCGCTTGCACTGCTTAATGAGGTTCTTCGGCCACCTATCGAGATTCAACCATTTTGGTCAGATTTGTAATGAATTTCAAAGGGGCTCCAAATAAAGGGGGGGGGAGGAGGAGAATGTGATTTCTGTAAAAGAATGCATATCAAAAAAAAAAAACGAACCTTCAAAGGCTCCATCGGCACCACCGTGACCTCCGTCAGCGCCGCCATGACCGTCTCCTGCTGCAGCTCCGTTGCCCATAGCAACTGAATGGTATTAAAGATGTATAAAAGAAAAGGGGAACCGGAAAAAAAAAGGTAGAAAAAAAGAAAAAAAGAAAAAGTTTTATTAGCAGCAGCAGCAGCAGCGGGCCAGCTAGTTTGTGCTTTATGACTTTTTTCTTTTTGGCTGGTTGGCCCATTCAACTGGTTACTTGCAAGTTCATGGTCCGGGCCAATCACGCATTTCTCGGGCACGTCGGACTCTAGCTGCCGAGAAACACTCGCTTGGCAATACTGTACAAGTTTGGTTAAGCCTGTGCTGTTTCATTTCGCCGCACCTGCAGCGACTTGTTCACCCAGCAGCATAGTCTATGCACATCCCACGTCTGATACTGTGCACAGTGGTCAGTGCATACCCTCTTAAATGCTAGGCAGTGATGTGCATGAAAAAGGGGCCCAGACTCCTCACTACATATCAGCTATCCTTTGGGTTAACTTTCACTCGTTCTTGTTTACGGGTCCGTTCATCGTCGATCGTTTTTTTTTCCACATCCGCTTCTTTTTTCTGCTGGTAATGAGTTTCGGAGATTCCAAAATTTGTTTCGAAGCTCTTCTCTCTCTCATTTGTCTTGTTTGTTTGGCGTTGCACGCATACGATCGTATCACATTGTACCCCAAGTCGAGGGAACCGCGTTGTCCTAAAAAGGCAAAGCGTCACTTAGCGTTGGTTTTTTACCCACAAAACGGTTTGTTAACCTCAGCTTCCCCTCGCTCTCTCTCGTAGTGAATGCGAGTAGATACGTTATTGCACTATCATCTTCAAAGGCACGCACCTTAACACACCCGCAATGAACAAATGGTAGCTTAGCATCATCATTACGGGTCCTCCTAGCAACTAATTGCTGCAAATTTAATTAGGTATCATAGCTCTTTGAGAGGAGCAAAATAGGTCCGAGCGTGCACTTGCCGGCTATAGGCTGCGACTTACATTAGCCTACTGATAGTCATGCATAATTGACTCATATTTACTTCCCACGTCTATATGTTCATGCTACTGCTCTCCAACTTGATGCAAGCTAACGTAAGCGGGAAGGAAAAACAAACAAACAGGATGTGTCTGCATACAAGTACATCTGATTGGATGCTGCAACGAATTCTGGAAAAACAAAACGGGTTGCGACTTAAACTTTAAGTATCATAGCCCGTCGTTTGGTGATGGGTGCCCGTCGATCACTTTCTTTCTAAAGGAGAATTTCATACGTACATTCTCGCAGCTACTACACCTGAATGGAAAGCCCTTTCTGTTACTCATAATGCTTCACGCCACTTTATGCAAAACAGAGACTACACATGTGGTCAGTGGCCACGATGGACGGACGTCCATGATCATTTTTAGGGCTGGATATGGGAGTATGTTTACTTTGATAATTCCTGCAAGCCTTCACTGCTTTGGGAATAGTGATGGATTAATACACAATCTAGATGTGCACGTGATAATTGTGGGTCGCGGGTCTGGCGGATAGTGTGTTTGTTGTACCGCAAAGTGTGGGGACATGATATATCATAGTATAGTAAAATATCCCGGAGCAACTCGGCGTCCGATGTGGCTATATCATTAACCCTTAGTATGCGTTTATAAATAATTAATAGTGTGGACCACAATTTCTTTAAATTCCCTTAAAGAATCGTATAAGAGGGGTAGAATTTCGCAGAAGCTATAGATGCTTACTAACTGTTAGCGCCATTTTACTGTGGGCGCTTTTATAATTTCTAACACTCTTTTAACGAAAACAGCTTACCTGTGTCTGTTACACGGCGAAACAAAATATCACCAAGTCTACATGCTCTACAGTTGATGCAGATTTGTTAGTGCTATATTATTATCATGATACCTCCCCAAAGAAGAAAATGGGCTGTTGAAAAGAGGACTACAGTATCTTGCTTTGAAAAACGCACAGCTATTAGGTGCTTGAACGTGATCATCACCAGATGAACGATATACATGTTTTGCAATAGGTTCTTCACTGTATGTAAAAACAACTCCACAGGAGGTAAAGTCAAACAGTATAGGATGCTGCAAGACAGCTGGATTGAGATTTGACAGCTGTCAATTTATACCGTGAGTGTTGAACTCATTTGTATTTCCAAATTTTAAAATATTTTTGATCGTTCCTCTTGTGAGAAAGAAGAAAAGGACGAAAGAGCAAGAAAGACATGGGCAACTATTGACGGTCCCAGAAACTCGAGATGGTAAGCAGTAGATGCTTTTTGAAGCCTACAAAAACCTTTGAAAGCTTTCCAGAGCATTTTTTAATTTTTGAAAGGATACAACTACAAGCATGAATTTCCGATAGGAAGAGTTTCTTTTAAAAGAAACTTGAAGATTTTTCAAATAGGTGGATTATCACTAAAGTGGTATAAAAGCGGTCGTTGGAGTCTTTTTCAAAGATAGATCGTCCTGTGCATTATTAGTTCACCAGCCTGCTCCACCATTACCATCCTTCAATGAAAACAGGTATAAACCTGCAGATAAACAAATTCCTTCCGGGGTCTGGGGAAGAAGTAAAACGAATATCTACAGTAGCATCTTCACTGACAACGATATGAAATAAGCGGCATATAGCAATCATAAGGTGTACTAGAGATCAAAATGCATCGATTGAGATATTACGAGATCGACATTATGTGCCAAAATGCCAGGTTGACAAGAAGTTCTCATCACGCAGAATTGAAAAAGATGTTACCGAAACAAGAAATTTCTTATGCTGTAAGCACGGACTGCACCGAAAGGAGAACTGCGTCGGGGGTTGGTGCGACCTCCAGCCAAGAAATTCTTCGATGATTTAGTATATAAGTAGGGTAAGGTCCGAGCAGAAAAGCGGACATTCCACATATACTAGCTCTATACTATACTACACCATCACGTTTTAACTTAATATGAGAAAACCTGAACGACAAAACCTTTGCGCCGTCGACCGCGTTTCCTTATCATCATTTGTAAACGGACAAATCAACGATCTGGGCAACGGTCATGTCCTTGTTTACTCGGACCAACAACAAACCACCCTTCGATTTATCGATTATTATGGCGAAGAACGTGCCTCGATTGTGTTAATTCCGCGATCCAAAGCTTGGCTACAGCCCGACCATCTTCTTATCTTTGATCGTCCCGAAGGCGGTCGTTGGCGCATGGATTGCTCTGCTTCGGATCTGAATGCGTTCCAGCAGCTACAGGACCTGCTTACTTATTTTATCAAGTATGAAAATCGACACCAATTGCGCAATGTACTGGCCATGATGAACCCAGTATCTTGCCAAGTAACCGAAGTGATTGCACGAAATGTGCAACTCGAAGATGAAGATACGCAATCAGAAAAGCAGCCTGTGATGATGGAAACTCCGATGGTAAGAATACATGTACGGGATGCGGTTTTGAGGTTGAAACCAAAGATGATGGCGATATTGATATTATGCGATCTAGGTCGCTGGCGGTAGCTTCAAGGTTCGCCTCCTTTATCGAACAAGCGATGCATTGGTCACTGGATCCGATTGGCTTGCGCAGTCGTTTGTTCTGGCCGGCCAATCTTTGGCTCGGGGCATTCAAATGTAAGACTATTAGGACAACAATAACGACAGTTGTAGTCAGGCATCAAACGAGTGATATTCATATTCATCTGTATGTGCTCAGCTGATACTGATGTTAATATTCGTTTACATAGTCAAACCAAAAAAATGAGTGACACAGTAGAACCAACCGAAAACACCATTCGACTGAGCGAAGTAGATCGTCAATACGTAGAAACGTTTTACAGCGTCAACCGCACTCTTTTAAAAGGTACGAACGAGTTTGTATCTTTGTTTATATCCCCCCTTACATATGCAATGCATGCTAATTGGAAGGCTCTCACATAGGCGCTGGCAGCTTGATCACCAAAGCAACCACGGCTGCAGCATCTGGCATCAATTCTCTATACAGCTACAATCAACTGCAACGGGATCCTGTCCAAAACGCAACCCGACATTTCGGCGTTTCCCTGTTCCATGCCGCTCACAATGTCGTTGCCGGCTTATCAATGGCCACAGGTGCTGTCCTGGCGTCATCACGAGATGGAATTGTCGACATGGTCTACAAGAAATACGGACATGACGCTGGCTATCTTGCAGAAAAGGCTCTAGGGTCTGGAAATGACGATGTTGCAGATGTGCTAGTATACTTTGACGCCCACGGTGTTGCACGTCAAGTCTTTGTTGGAACAGGTTCGATTTCAGCATCGAATGCAGTGGATAAAGATGTCATGGATAACGGCAGCAGACGAGATTCATATCGGTCTGTGATCTTTGATTCGGAGGACATTACATCCATCATGAACACGTCTAGTTCACAAACACCTATCCATCCTTTGGATAACAAGGAAACTCAAAGCGAAAAAGATCAGCCCACTTATATCCAAGTTTAAACAAAATTTCCTTATCTAAGCCCAAACACCTCTTCCCGCCGCTACTCTTCTCTCGTTGTACATTTTCCATTTCTTTCCATGGCTACTAGATGCGCATAACATTATATCATCATATTATCTCTGCTTACAAACATCACTTACCTGCATAAGTTATAATTCAGTAAATATAATATAATCATACCAATTTTAAAATGTCTTTATAGTAGGAGTAGCTATAGCTAATGAAGCTTTGTGCTATTGACATGATTTGAATATATTTCGGGCGAAGGACTTGAGTATGACGTCATTATCATTGTAAGCATGAAAGTGGGGTCAAGATATATAGAATACGCAGGCCCAATAAAGTAAAGACATACCTACGGAGAAACGGTTGCTGATACTTAGTACCATGCACGACGGAAGTGAAAAGGAAGAAAGTTTGCTAAATTGCTAGAGTAGCTCTTGTCTATGCTTAGTGATCAGAGTTTTCACATGATGAGTTCGGATACAGACCAGAAACCCCGCGTTTTTGCTTATGAAATACGATATCCATTCAACATCAAAATATTACGATTCGGTTCTGCACCTTTCAAACTCTTGCACTCTTCTTTCTTCCTTTCTCACAACCCCCCAACCCCCTACTCACACTTTTTCATTCTTTTTCCTAATTTGAAGCCATTATGAAGACATTCACTGTCGAGGAGGTCGCACAGCATAACAAGGCCGATGATATCTGGATCATTGTTGACGGCAAGGTGTTTGACGTTACCAAGTTCTTGAGTGAACATCCCGGAGGCAAGAAGGTGCTTGTCAAGATGGCCGGCAAGGACGCCACCAAAAAGTTTAAGCAATTCCACAACGATGCCATTATGCAACGTGTTGGTTTGCCCATGCAAATCGGTGTCATTGGTGCTGAAAAGAAAGAAGAAGCACCCAAGCCTGTTGCTGCTGCTGCTGCTGCTGCCGCCGCTCCCCTTACTCCTGGCAAGCTTGTCTCGGCTGACGAGGCTCGTTTTGGCGATGGTTTCCCTTATGGCGATCCCAACTGGTATCAGGACTGGAACAGGTAAAAGAAAGAAAAAGAACTATGGAAAGAAAGAATGTCAAATCACAAATCTCTTTTGCTCAATTGCGAGAAATCGTTCCGTGTTTTGTGTAGCCCTTACTATAATGAATCGCATATGCGCCTCAGAAAGGTCATTCGTGAATTTGCAGAAAAGGAACTCATGCCCTACTGCCACGAATGGAGCGAAGCCAAGGCCATTCCTCGCGAAGTCGTGAAGAAGGTTGCCCAAGCTGGCTTTTTGAACGCCGCCTCCGGTGCTGGCACCAACCCTTCGGTTGCTTCGCTTTTGCCTTATCCTCTTCCTGCTGGTATTAAGCACGAAGAATTCGATATCTTCCATGAGTTCATCTGTGTCGACGAACTTGCCCGTTGCGGCTCGGGTGGTCTTCTGTGGGCTTTGCAAGGTGGTTTGTCCATTGCTCTTCCTCCCGTCATGAACTTTGCCCCCGAGCCTATCAAGAAGAAGGTCGTCCCTGAGTGTTTGGCCGGTGAAAAGTTTATTGCCTTGGCGATTACCGAGCCTTCTGCTGTAAGTTGGTGCTTTCTTTACAAAACGGCACCAATGACTTGTTATTGTGGTAAAGAGGAACTTGTTGTTGATTTGTCGTTTTTGGATGGATATACGTAGGGCTCAGACGTCGCTGGTTTGAAGACCTCCGCCGAGGACAAGGGCGATCATTTCTTATTGAATGGTGAAAAGAAATGGATCACTCAGGGTGCCTATGCTGATTACTATGTCGTTGCCGCACGCACTGGTGGTGCTGGTATGGGAGGTGTTTCCTTGTTGTTGGTTGAACGTGCTTGGGAAGGTGTTGAGGCCCGCTACATGGATGTCATGGGTATGTGGGGCTCTGGCACCTCCTACATTACTTTTGACGATGTAAGTAATACTGGCATCTAGTGGCATACTCTTGGAGAGCTGAGAATTTAAGAAACGGGATTAACTAAGCATTAATTTCGGGTTATGTGACATTATCCGTGCATGCATATATGGCAATAGGTCAAGGTCCCCAAGACCCACTTGATTGGTAAACTCAACGAAGGCTTCAAGTACATCATGCACAACTTCAACCACGAACGTCTTGGCATTGTCATGCAAGCCAACCGTCTTGCCCGTGTTTGTATCGAAGAAGCTTTCACTTACTCTATGAAGCGCAAGACCTTCGGTGTCCGCCTCATCGATCATCCTGTCATCCGTAACAAGCTCGGTCACATGATCCGCCAATGCGAAGCTACTCACGCATGGCTCGAAAACATCATGTACCAAATCAAGACTTTGCCTGAGGCTAGTCAGCCAGCCCGTCTTGGTGGCCCTGTTGCTTTGCTCAAGGCCCAGAGCACACAGACATTCGAGTTCTGTGCTCGTGAGGCTGCTCAGATCTTTGGTGGTTTGGCTTATACCCGCGGTGGTCAGGGTGAGAAGGTCGAGCGTCTGTACCGTGAAGTCCGTGCTTACGCCATTCCCGGTGGCTCTGAAGAAATTATGTTAGATCTTGGTATCCGACAGGTATGTCTAGATCCTCCCTTTTACATACAAACATGATCACGTTTACTTACTTTTTTTCCTCTCTCACAGGCAACAAAGAACTTTGAAAAGAGGTCCAAGATCTAAGTTGCAATGATATCTTTTATTACGAGTTTTCCAATCTAATTTATCTCATCATAAACAAGCTAAGCTGTTCCAAGCTAGCCTCCCAAATGAACATAGACAACAATCCATCCGTTAAAATTAAATGTAATATAATACCTTTCATTTGTAAGAAAAAAGAATATCAAAGTTCCACGTATCATATGTCTCAAATTGTTAATGACATATGCGATGATGGGAGAGTGGAAGCATCGGAAAAGAACACCTCTACATTCCAGTACTGCTGCATAATAGATACTTAGGAAGACGTTTGAATAAGTTAATGGGATATATATGAAAGCAATAATATCATAGTTTTCACAACACTCAATAAAGATCGAGTTAGCAAGATTTGGTGGTAGTTTATTACATGCATGACTCTCAGATACTATTATGCTTCTTGTTTTCAACACTTCAGTTGAACCCATTCTTTGAAACACAACATTCACGCGCTTAATAATTTAACCTTCACGAGCTGCATAATACGACGCTTATGTTGTGCTTACACTGATAGACCATGTTCTGTATAACACTTGTTTGTCAAACAATATTCCACAAGTTAGATCAAAATAAACTTTTTATCAAACCAGCAATATTTATTTATTTAAGCATTAAGAAAAAGTAACAGAAAATGTAATGGATATACTAAAGTACTTCGTGTAAGAATGCATATTTGCTTTGGTAGATGACTGCTGCTACTAAGCTAGCAATAATCACGGTTTCTTTTTGAGCAAGTTTTTTTCCTTTGTTTCTCGTATCCGCTGTCCTTTTTTTGCCCTAGCTGCGGCAGTATACTCTGGGTTTTTCTCAACGAACTCCTTGCGTAGTTTTGCTGCAAGGTCGTTAAACTTTTGTTTCTCCTCGGCGCTCAGCTTCTTCCAATCACTTCCTATGACCGCATTTACATCCTTGAGAGTGTATTCTGGATGCTCCTGGCGAAGTTTGGCACTGACTGACTTGCAGTATTGGATATATCCATTACCAGGCATCCGTTCGTTGCGTCCACGTATACCGCTTTCTTGTCTCACTTCTGCTATGAGCCGTTTAGATTCCTTTTCGTACTTTTCTCTCTCCTCCTAATCAAATGCCAGTTCAATGTTGGCGTCAGTTTAACAAAGCACATGGTCGATTGGGGTCTTCCCACTCTTCATCACCTCCATCAACGAAAGTATTCCTTACCGGTGGAAGGCTTCGAAATACTTCCGACACTTTTGTGCTGATTTGACGATTATGGATACCAGGATTCTCGTCGCAAATTCGTTTACGGTTTTCTTTGTTGAACAGCATGAACGGGGTGTACTTGCTATATGGACTTGGTTTATACTGCGTGTAGCTGTGATTCTTGCCTCTACTGCTATCTTTGCTTTCTACTATCTGCCTTTCGCTTCTCTGAGATGACGATGCCTCAGGTGAGTCATTGAAGTCTTCTTGATCGGAAAAGATGTTGTCGTCAGAGCCGTCGCTCTCGCCGTCATTGAAAGTATTTGGAGTTTGCTCGAGTTTTTTGGTTGGTATCGTCGTTTCGCGAGATGATGTTTTCTGCCTTTCGCTTCTCTGAGATGACGATGCCTCAGGTGAGTCATTGAAGTCTTCTTGATCGGAAAAGATGTTGTCGTCAGAGCCGTCGCTCTCGCCGTCATTGAAAGTATTTGGAGTTTGCTCGAGTTTTTTGGTTCGTATCAACGTTTCGCGAGATGATGTTTTCATTGCCTTAGGTTTCGCTTTGGCTTTTCCCTTGCCCTTATTCTTGTTTGATCGCTTGCTTTTTCGTTCCTCTTCATGATCCTCTTCGTCCGGCGTGCTGAAGCCATCGCTCTTATCACTGTCGTCAAGACCGAATTCCGATTCAGACGATACTCCCTGGTCGACATAACTTTCGTTGTAATCATCACTGTCCTCATCGTCTGATGGTTTGCGTTTCTGTCGCTTGCGCGGTAGCTGCTTCTTTGGCCATCTTTCAAACACTGATTCGCTAGCGATGTCCCTGTCGTATAGACCACGCGCGATCGTTCGCTGCTTCTTGGGTTTCGTCGTTTCTTCAAGTGCAACATCCTCTTCCATTTCTCTTTTGATGATGACGGTAGGCTTGATCTCCATTGATGATAGAAGCTTTTTGAATGAGTCAAGTTTCTGACGGGTTTTCGCCAAGGAGTGATCTTCTTCAACTTTCATGCGTGCTGATTGCGCGCGGCTGCTGCTTCTGATCGTATTTGTTGTAGTCGTTTGTAAAGATTCTAGATCGGACAGGTCCGTGTCAGCACCAAAAAGAGAAGACGGATAGTGATTTGCATCGTCGACTAGTGCTTTTCGTTGAGAATGGTCGATTCTTTTGGGCCTTTTATCAACAATGGCATTTTCGTCTTGCTTTTTCCATTTCCACACATGACCGCATTGTTTGCACTTTCTGTGTAATGATCAACGATCTCTTATAGTTTAATTTCTAACCTTTTTTTTTCTTCAGATACAAACACACAATCAACGACTCCTTCGCCGTCCCTTTTCCGTGCACTAAAGAACTTACGCAGTGCCAGCCATAAGCCCTTTTCTGTAGAAGTGAGCATCGTCATTATTGCAAGAAGGACAATCCCATATAATTTGGGGTTGACCTTGTACTTGTTTTTGTTCAGTGGACATTGATGTTGTTCTTAAGGAATGAATTCGCCAACCCTGCTAGATGTGAGTGTGAAAAAAGAGGTGTGGCACGGAACATAAAAGAAAAATTCTCATGGTGATGCCGACGGACTTTTTGTGCTTTCTTCAATACGCGTCAGAACCAAAATGCCTGATATTTTCGATCGTTTAAACTATGAACTCATTTCTGCCATTGTAGAACTCGTTAGCCAACGCGATTGCCTTGAAGCAATGCACGTATCTCGCAACTGGTTTCACTTGTTGCCAAGCCATGCCACTGCTCTATGGACCAGTATCGATTTATGCACGCCATATGGTTTGACCATGGATGAGCGTCTGTTACGGTGCCTCGGACCACACGTACAACAAGCATCTTTGCATTACAGCGATCTCAGTGCAGTTCTTCAAATATTTCAGGAGCGTCAAGTTGAGATACAGTGCCTTAGTAAGTATGTCCAGGGGTGTAGCTTTTGACGGCTATCAGTACGAAAAACTATATATGCACAATGCTCCAACTTTATTGAATGCTAAAACTTGCTCAATATGATAGATCTTTATCTAGACAGAGATGTCTATGATGACTCTGAAAAAAATACTTGCGTCTTAGATATACTGAAGACATCCGCAAGCTTGAGACGCGTGAAAGAGCTCTCAATTATTAGTGATCAATGCGACATAGCGCTGTTGGATCTTGCTCGTGCCTGCCCCGAGCAACTCACTCATCTAACAGTGCGTTTCTCTTGTGATACCATATCGTTACGTCAAAATACCGCTACGAAAGAGGTAACAGGAGCAGCAGCAGCATCATTGGCAGCTATAAACGACCAAGCGCTATTACCACATCTCGTTTACCTCCATTTGGACGCGCGTTTCGAATTCCACGTACTCGAGCCTTTGCTTCAGCAATGCCCACATCTTCGCATTCTACAGATTTCACTAAATGCCACTGACAGCTGTTTTAGCAGTGTTCCAGCTATAACAGACGAGGCGTCTATTCTTGGTGACGTTTTCGACTTTACTCGCGTATTACAACATTGCCCGCATGTACACGCAATCGATTGCAACTATGCTGGGCTCTGTACGTGGACTAGCATTCCAGACCTTACGCGTAATGCACAGTATGGGTTGGAAACTTTACGCGTCGCCTACAATACATCCAATAATCACCCGAACGTAATCATGGCCGCATTGCAAGCGTCGATGGACACCCTCAAGGTGTTACATATTGATCAAGAAAAACCAGATGATAAATCCGATTATGTTTGGCTGTGGCCGGATCGGTTGCTTGAATCTGACACTAATGTCGAAGATTGGACACCGTTAGCGCAAATTAAACTGTCGAGGCTACGAGAGTTATCTACAACCGTCCTCACCAACAACTTTGGCAGAAACGTGATCGGCTTCCTTCGTCATCACTCGCACACACTAGAGAAGGTGGCTTTAACAATCAATTCAACAAAATTGACCGAAGAACTGGTATATGCGATACACGGAATCGCGAGCCTCAGCCGATTATCACTGACTGTGGATTGGGTCACTAAAGAACTGGAAGAAGATTACCCATTCTATACTCCTCCTGTTACAACAACGGTGCCGAACAACTTTATTCTTTTAGTGAACCGACCTCGAGTTCTCCATGATATCTACCTTGATTACATCGCTTTGTCTGACCCGCTATTACACCTCTTGGCAAGCAGTCAGTCATTACGAACCATCGTACTCATGGCAAATGGCACTGACTACCAAAAACCCGCATCCACTGTCACTGCGAAGGGCCTGAGTACCTTTGCATACATTCTACAATCGAATTCTACTCTCAAATCCTTGACGCTCGAATATTTCGCACCGTTGGATGACAACATATTGGAAGCTTTGGGTCGGATCGAATCTTTGGAAAAGCTCAAAGTGACAAATTGCCCTCATATCACTGATGATGGATTACGACGGTTTGCAGATACAGTGGGTGGCAGGGGGTGTTACTATAATTTCATACAATATGGTTGTTCACAAGTCACCCGGGAAGGAAACGCGTATGCAGAAAACGAAATTAGGAGCAGAATATAAATGGTAGCGTCAACAAGTTGGCTTTACAACTTCGACGCCGTATTGTTAATATCTCTTTATTGAGAACAAGAAAGCTAGTACATAGCGCTTTGCTATATACTGCTTAGCGGCTATTTTGCTACTGGTTTTTTTTTGTGGGGAAGTTCCTGGTCGGGATTCATTTTTATTAAAGTGTACAATTATAAAGAACTGCCAATAACGTTACAAATATCATAATGTAGTGAGTACAAGGGATTGTGGCACACTGATGATATAACTACGAACACCCAATCACTAGCGAGGACTATGCAGAAGTTGTCATAGGAATTACCGAGTAATAGAGCTTTCATCGAATCCATAGAGATGGGAAACCAAGTAGCTGGATTCAAACCAACAAGCTCCTCCGCGATGGAGGTCACCCGCCATGACCGAAGTCTTCAGGGCCTGGCGCCCAACAAATTTGCGTTGGTGATTTTGCATTGCTAGTTTTGCGTTCCTATTTTTGCGTCGCTCTGCTTATCAATCTTTATAACGCGAACAAAGTGGCTAGAAGAATTCTGGTCGAAGTTGAAGCTAAGCAAGTAGGACAGTGGTCAGCATTGTTGTTCTTAGGTTTGATATTATTGATATAATAGGTGTTTGAAAGATCGATTATTATCGATCTCAAGAATAACGGAAGGTGATAAACGAGCGACTAAAAAATAGTGTGTTGGATAGATTAATCATGCCTAGAAAATTAATTATCTGTTGTATAGTAGTCTTGTAATAGAATAGAAGTTGGTAGGTTGGTACATTTTGAAATCAGTGTCGCACCTGGAAAAAAGGGATGTCGTGTTTCATCAAAAGGATGCTGGGATTTTCAAATCATCCTGTCGCATTTTTTTATGCTTGTTTCTGGAACCACAATATTTTTTTTAGTAGAGCAAAGTAAAAAAATGAACCACTCTGAACCAGAGCTACAATAGAAATGAACTGGTGTGAACCAGAGCTTCCTCTCTTCCTTTGTTCTTTACTCTTTGTATCTCTTTATCAAAATGAATATTACAGAAGGCTAGGCATTATGTATGTTCTTTTCTATAGAGTGCACAGAAGAAAACATAAGCCTGTTGACTAGGAAACTTGAAAGCTATGATGAACTTCTTCCGAAGAATAATCTTTTTTAATAATTTGATATTTTAGATGATAGATGATAGATAAACTATCATCCTATTGAAAATCTGCCGATTCCGAAAATTAAAATTTTCTATAGAGATTTCCAACTAGCCACTTTCTCTAGAGAAAGTAACACAAAGAGTCGCCTCACAAGAAGAACTTGTGACCTAGTTGACAATCATTAACTTTATCTTTTATCTGTTTTCAACTAGTCTTATTTCATAAGACAATCTTTTATTTGCTAGTAGATTTATAATCCACAAAATCTTTTTTTATATGATTTAAATTTTTTAATCATTTTATAAATAATAAATAATAATTAAAATTGTAGCATATTATCAAATTCATCAATATCTAATATTTTGAATAAAAAATTTTTTAAATGTATTATCTTCAACACTTTATTTCTCATTTTTTTTTTGTTCATATGTATATAAAAACTTTTCATAGAATTATTCTTTGAGTCTCTTTCTATCGTTCTATGAAGCCAAAAAAGTGTGTTGTATAAGTGAAAAAAGTTGAAATAAAACATTGAAAATTGGTCCAGAAAAATCATGTTTTTAGGTGGCGGGCACCATATAATAATTTAATGCAAAATATAATTCTTTAATACTTGTTATATTATGTTCAGCAAATGTTTCCATAGTTTCTTTATTATACTCTTTTCCTATATAATATTCTTTCTCATAATCTATTGATACTACATTGTCTTCATTATTAATGTTTTTATCATTGATGATATCTTCATAGTTAATATTTCTGTCAATATTTTTATTTATTTTTCATTATATCTTTATTATTACAGTTGCACCCCGGTTTTTGCAACCCCTGGATTCGCAATTCCTCGTATATCTCGAAAAATCCAGTAGTTTCGCAAATTTGCAACTTACAAATGAGTTTATACGATTTGCGTGTTATTGGGGTGAAAACAGCTTCAATTTTTTCAATATCAACTGAAAGAAGCATCTATTGCATATTATTGAGGAATAAAATGATATAGTTACTGCACTAGACAGCTTCAATAAAAGAACGGTCTTATATATGCAAGTAGTAACATTTAGAGCTGTGTGAAATCCCTACAGAACATATCGTACATCATCTCTAACAGATAAACAACGGGTTAGTGTATATAGCATGACTTATATCCAGTGTCTATTTGAAGCAGAATTGTTTACCCTGTTACTTGCAAATACTCACTTTGTGCAAAAAGAAATCGGAAAACCCTCGGTTGCAAAAACTAGGGTACAACTGTATTAATCATTTTCTTTCAATAGGTGAAGTCTTTATATATTCTCTTTTTGGCATCTTTTATTTTATATTGATTATAAAATTCAATTTTAAAATATAATATGTATAAGAAATAAGTATAAATTTTATTTTTATTTTTCTGATTTTGAAATATATATAGTAAAGTATAATTCAACCTGAGACTCACCTACTGAACCCTGTACTTGTCACTAGGTCATAAGTGTTTTCTTCACCTTTTATGTTTAGACGCTATTTGATTGAGTCACCTACAGCAATCATGCAACAAATGTTGAAGTAAAATTATGCATGTAATTCAAGAATGCTTATACTTACATAATAATTCTAATAGGGGATTAATCCCTAATGATAGGTCATTAAGAGGATTAAATATAAAAGATTTATATATAATAAGATATATATTTCGAAACTGCTAAGACAAAATCAAAGATTTTTATGGAGTTTCGAGAACCCTTCTCTAGAGAAAGAACTACAAAGAGTTGCTACACATGTTGTAGGCAACTTATGTACTAATAAAGGAAGGAAGCAACTTACTCCTATAAGTTTTGATCCTCATTACTATTCTGGGGGGATTTTAATCTATAAAAATCTATCTATTTATCTTTCTTTAGTTTAATCTTTAGTTTAATTATCAATAGATAAAATGCTTCATCTTTTTTAATCTTTAAATTTTTGAATGATAAAATCAAAAAATAATATATTATTTAAAATATAAATATTTTAATAATTTTATTTATTTTTTTTTTCAATTAGATATGAAATAGAAAAAAATATTTTTTTTTAACTTTTATTGTAATTTTTATCTATTAAAAATACTTCAATTAACATATATATCAATTCCCATATAAAATTTATACTATAAATTCTACAAAATCAACCCTACAAAAGATGAATCTTTGGTTAATGATCAATCCTCATATACACTCTTGTTTTTTACTTATAATGTAGCATCTAGTACACATATGATTTGATTTATAAATGCTGCCTTCTGCATCAACAAAATGCCAAACAATCCTGCATATACTCAAGGAGATGTTACTTCCAAAGATATCTTTACTTCTATTTTGCCTTATACCGACATCTTGAAGAATAATCAAAAGTTAAAAATTATTATATTATATGTAATTTTATAAAGATAATGGAATACAAAAAATAAAGTGGAACGTTTATTTTTATATTCCTAGAAGTTAGAAATATAACGAAAATTAATAAAATCAATGAAATTAGATTTTATATTTTCTAGAAGTAATAAATTTAATTATTATTTATATTTTTAAAAAAGATTAAAAAAAGAAAACATATAAATAAATATTTTGATGATTGAAAATCATCTAGCAGATATATAATCTGTTTTGTATACAAAACTAGTAGAAAATAAACGAATTGTTCATTTTTATACAAATAAATTAGGTCACAAGTTGCTCCAACTTGCAACACGACTCTTTGTATTACTTTCTCTAGAGAAAGTAGCTAGTTGGAAATCTCCATAAAAAATTTTAATTTTCGGAACTGGCAGGTTTCTAATAAGATGATAGATTCTCTATCATCTCCCATTTCAATAATTATATTCTTGTTATTGATGAATCCTCATCTTTGATGACAAAATGGTTCTTGGATTTTCTCAATGGTGCAAGAGGAATAAACCTGGATTCATAAGCTTGCCCATCACCAGAAACGAAAACACAATGTCAATGTCAGAACCCAGCAACTATATGTCCTAAAAAAGAATATTTTGGTAAAGCTGCAAAGTTGTGTCATACTGCTTTGTTATACTAATTGTCTTTTTTTATTACATGGTAGCTAATTTGGCTAAGAACATTGTCATATCCTTACCCAACCATCAAAACTACATCAAACAACTGAAAGAAGAAGGATACAAGATTATTGGCTACTCATGGAAGGCACCTGGGGAACAGCCAAACCAATTAGCAAATTTGACAGCCATGGTGAACAAACTGAAGGAACGATCTTTAGTAGATAAATGCTTTGTATCAAGAGTTTGCAATGCTTCTGACGAGCTAGGAGAACGAGACTTGCGTCACACATCTACTTCGAACCTACCAGGGACCCAAGGAAACAGCCAAGGTATATTGTACGTTATTATATATATATATAGAGATAATTATATATCTCACCCTCCTACTTTTAAGATATGATCGGTCACATTGCTTCTACCAACAAAAAGATATGCTTCGTTGTGATTGATTATGCTGGCTTGAGCACAAATCAAGAGAATATTTATGATTTTGTCCAGTAAGCTATTGACTTTCAAAACCAAACTTGTTAATAGGCTAACATTTCTTTTACTAACACACTAGTTCATTTTTTGGTAGTTCTGGTTCACACCGGTTCATTTTTCACTTTGCTCTTTTAAAAAAAATGTGGTTCCAGAAACAAGCATCAAAAAATGCGTCAGGAAGATTTGAAAATCCTGGCATCCTTTCGGTCAAATGCGACATCCCTTTTTTCCAGGTGCGACTGTGGTAAACTAAGATCCGGTACAGACAGATGTCTTGATAGAAGGTTTCTCTTTACCGCACCGGGATCCAATAAGGGACACGGTTGCGCACATGCACCTAGCTGGATTGAAATGTGAATCCTTCATATAACTCAGTAAAGAAACCAAGTTGAAACAACCGTCCAAGAACACATCTCAAACCATCATAAAAGTTTTTTAATCGTTCTTACAGCAAAGCACCAGTAAGGTCCTTGCTGACAAAGAAGAAGCTTTCCACCTTCAGATCTGTTTCTCCGTTAAGACCGAGTTCTCAAACAATGTTTGAAAGTTAGATATAAAAGAAGATAGTTTCTATAGTTGATATTGTACTTTGTTCAATCTTTTGAATATAATCCATTCTCAAACGACTTATTTGTCTTTGTTTATTTCGATTTACCACAGCGACACTAATTTCAAAATGTACCAATCTTATATTTTATTACAAGACTATACAACAACAAAGAAAATACAACAGATTATTTATTTTCTAGGCATGATTAATCCATCTAACACGGTATTCTTAGCCGCTCGTTTATCACCTTCCGTTATTCTCGAGGTCAATAATCGATCTTTCTCACTCAATTTGTCTCTTTGAACACCTATTATATCAATAATATTAAACCTTGTAAAAACAATAATGCTAACCACTGTCCTACTTGCTTAGCTCCAACTTCGACCAGAGTTCTTCTAGCCACTTTGTTCGCGTTATAAAGATAGATGAGCAGAGCGACGCAAAAATAGGAACGCAAAACTAGTAATGCAAAATCACTGGCGCAAATTTGTTTCCTATACAACGCAAAATTATTCCTTCTCGGCGCAGATAATTTGGAAAAAACCAGTATAAAGAAAGACATTCAGGGCTACAATTCACGGAGCCCTTTGCTTGAGTATATATCGTCGAAAAGCTAGAAACTATAATACGTATACTAGTAGCTCTTATAGTGTAGCATGTAATTTTGAGTAACCGCTGCGTCAAATACGAGCAGGTGTGCATGTGTGGCCCACATTTTATAATATGTGTTGTGAGACATATATTTAGTGCCACATACACGCAAGTACAGTTTACGCTTTATAAAATACTCGATCTTACAAGAAAAATGGTAAAACGATAGAAAAAAACTTCATTGTCCCAAAGGATAGTTATACGATGTGCTGAGATGCTACTATAATAGCATTTTCAGTGTCAGGCATATAGGATTGTTGGAAGACGAAGAAAACGAGGAATAATTTTATGGAAGGGCATCCGAAAGGGGAGATAAATTAGCCGCAAAAAAAGCTTATTTCATATACTCATTGCCAAGCAATATTAGACACTTCTTCTACTTACTACTTTTTCCTTTTATAATATATGACATCCCTTCCCTTCCTTTTCTTTTCATGCCTGCTATTTTTGTCAAGTACTGTTTTAGCTGGTGAAGGTACATACCCACTAGCCTATATTACAGGCCCTGAAATTCTCGAAAACTCCACACACATTCCTGTAAGATTCAAGTTTTAAAAGAATTAGCGATCGGGATTCCCAGTGATTATAGGAAAAGTTAATAATAACAATAGAATTGAATTCAGACCGGGTATTATACATTTAGACATGTTGAGACGGGAAAGTACTTACAGTTCATTGATTTTGACAATCAAATTGTACCGTAAGTTTTCTAATTTAAAGGCAATAAATTCTTATTTATGCGAAATAGAAGAGTGATAAGGAGGGGTGAAGAGGGATTAGACTTAGCTAATATGTTGTGGTTACTGCTATGTTTGTAGTACCGAGGGAGCAAACTCGACTGTATTCAACGGAACACTCTGGACAGTGAAGTGGCATGGAGATAAAAATTATTCGATCCACCATCTCAACAAAGTCAAGGTACGGTTTATTTTGTCATTTGTTCAATTACAGGAAGAAGATGAGGCGAATCATAATTTTGACGTTCGTAATACAGTACGACAAATGTGTTTCAACTCGGTGGGATCATCACAGAGGATTGGATGATGCGGCAGTGATGTGGTAGCGTATCCTTGAATGTTTCAATACTGCTCAAAGCAATTGGCTATGTACGTGGAAATGCATTCTAACCGCTCTTTATTCAATACAGGCAATGCGAGGTAGACAACATCACACGAATCGATATTGACTTTGACATATACCCTGGATTCAATGGCGTATACAACGAATCAGCACCGCGACCGATCCATCGAAAAAAGCGACGGGATCTCGAACGGCGTTATATCAACACTTACGAATCGATTCGAGAAGACAAGCAACAATGGGTGTTTATGCGGGCAGATCCCTCCCATACGCCGTTGTGGAACAATGTTCGGTTTGATCCTGAAACTGGCGAAAACCATGTCACCGGGCCCATCGCGGAGCCAGACCGTGAAAAGGATCAGCATTCAGGGCGCCACCAGTTCTATTTGGTATCTGCGGCGCATCTGTGGAATATGATACCTCGTTGCATTTATCCACAAGCAAGTTACGAGTTTGATTTCACAGCCAACAATACGGGTGTCACGGCATTAGATCATTGCCTGTGGGGGAATTCGTCGCAGTTGTGGGAGGTGACGTTGTGGAAACCAGAGTCGTTTCCTTTGGGATTCACGCCCAATCCGATGTATATGGACGATCAAGTCGAATCGTCTAGGTTTTTGTTCTGGAATGCTCATACCTCGCCGGGATCGACTATCCTGTGGTGGGGAGGTCTTGTTGGATTCTCGTTTTTAATGTGGATATGGCATTAATAAAAGTACCCCCAAGTACTTGCATTCATCTCCTTAATACGTTTTGTTTCTCTCTTTCTCGTCATCCACCAGATCGTAAGCATAATAAAACGTTAATCAGCGTTCTCGCCTATGCAGAAGCTTTGAATGTATACTAGATTTGATGTTTAAACAAGGTCTACTACTTGTCTGGTTAGCAACATCAATTGTCACAGAAACGAAATATGTTATTCGTCAACCCTTTAATGCTGTCGTCTATTGACGACATGTTGACCAGGTTACTACCATTCGTGCAGGGTAATTTCAACTGCGCGTTTAAATAAGAGGTCCTTGATTGTTCCAGGATGTGGTTTCCAAAAACGGCAAGGAGATCCAATCTTTATTTTTTCACATAACTTACATATTACACACAGAGCTCCGCTTTCCGATCACAAACGGAGACAATCAAAGTTCGGCGCTTGATTGCTATAGGCGCAGCGAAACACGCGCTGACTGCAAAATTACGACGAAATGCTTACACACAACCTTATATTGGATTTTTCCTGTAACATGGCGGACTATTCTTATTCAACTTGGCCAATATTTTTTTTGTTGGCGGGTAAGAATCGTTTCATTGGCGGGTTATATATTTTACTTTATGGCGCCTGTGAATTTAACGCTTGGCGGACGTTTTAAAACAATCACAGCGGCCATACCAAAAATTATGCACCTCACTTGTTTTACACCAATATAAAAGTTCAACTTTATATTTAAAAAAAGAAAAACTGACGAAAAGCAGACACCGAAGGGAAGAAAGGCAAAGAGATGCAGAGGGATTACTCTTGCATTACTGATGATTTGTGGGGGTAGTGGTACCAATGTAATGCTTCAGCTCTGTCAAAAATGTGAGTCAGAAAAAATTACAAACTGAAACCTCTTGCGACTGGAAGTAAACTGTGACGTAATTTTTAACGTTAAATCGAGTGGGATGCTGCGTGTTCAAATATTCCCTCTCATCTAAAATATGTTGCTTAGGGAATCCACTTGTTTGCACCGCATTCATATGGTAGTTCTTTGATTGAAAGAAGGACGTCCCGAGTGAAAGTATGAGAAAGCATGAATTGCATTGCAGCCATGTGGAATCTTATGAGTAGCGATGGCATGAACGACGTTGTGCGGGTGTTCACTGAGCTGGGTATGTTTGATCGTTGTGCTAGCAAAAGGATGCTTGTAACTTACTTTTTCTTTTTACGCCGTTGCTAACTTAACGTATGAAAAACCCGTTTTCTCACTGGCCTTCAAAAATGTTGGAAGATAGACCTGTCTGTGATTTTGTATTTGTAAATTCTGAAATGGATCCTTTCCCCTTACATTTTATATGTGCTAATCTCATAGTATTAAACATATCTGTATGTGTCATTGCGGGCACTTCATCTTCAACCTGGGTGATTAATCTCAAGCGTTTTCGGCAAAATGAACAGAATGGGCTATATGTAGACCATCTCAACCAGGATTGTCTATCACAGATGCGTTTTTATCGACGATGGCCGGCTCAATCTTTATATCAAAAGAAATTCTGGACAATCCGAATGATGAAGGTATTTGTAAGAGTGGCGATTCCAAAGCATCATGACATGACTTATTGCTATGATTTTGCGTACTATTACGAGCGAAGGTATGGTTCACCTTGTCATGAAGTTCCAACAGGCTATTAGGTAGGCGAGAGCTAAGATGACTACGTACCTAACGGTGAGGGCAACAAATGCTCAAGAGGCAATCTTGAGGAGTCGCAAGTACAGAGTCTTATAGCTAATTGTGATATTGGGCATCAGCTCTTAACCTTGTCGAGTTGTTTTCGTCAAAATTGAGGCGTTTAGCTCTCACTGCTGAGGATGTATTGACAAGTTGCATTACATATGAAATAGAGTATACGTAAATAGCTACCCAGCGGACTGTTATGGATAAATTGAGCATTTAAAGTCATTCTTCGAGAGGTCCATTGGTATACGTAGTCTTTTCTTAACTAATCGATTATTTAATATATTTATTTTATCTAAATATATACATCTTGAAAGTGATTGTGGCAAATACTTGACGTCATCTGTTATTCTGCATGATATTGCCAAGTGTGTTATTCGAATATATCAATATGAAAATGGCCTCCTGTCGTATTTGGCATAAGCATATGGGGCATAAGTCGTTACACGAAATACTAGGTGTGGTGAACCAACCATATTGACATGGCAGATCCAAACATTCGTCTTAAACATAAATTGATCGGTCGGACATCATCATTAGCAGTACTTACACAGTAAATCTTCTAAACGGTCTGATATTACACCGTATGAGCGAAGATACATATGACAGGACAGAAACATGGATAAACCATTGCGGCGATAATGCATCGTAGCGGCTATCCAAGATGTAGGCAGGTCTACATCATACAACATGAAGGAAAGACCCCTGTACGCCCTCTATCAATTCTACCAGTTCTTAACAACTGCGACACTATTCACTTCACCATTGCCATTCCAATAAAGATATCACGGAACTTACTTTTGTTTTTGTCCATCTTCAGCCAACCACACCCTCGACCCTATTTTCCCCCAAGGAGACGCTGATCCGTCCGCTTTGTCTCATCTATCTCAGATGCAGCTTCACATCGCCGAGTCGAAAGCTGCTCTTACTCGCAATTCGAATCCTTCAACATCGATCCTACGGTTACACCATTGCCTACCATGCGACGACAAAAAGACACCCACAAGGTGACCTTACCTCTTATCCCTACGATCATTGCTCGCCGTCGTCATACCCGTCCTCACATCTTTAGCAATGATGGTCCTACCGCAGCTCAACATTGGATCGATAAATGCGTCTATATTTGTGAATGCCTCGCTTTCAATGAGGAAGATCGTTTGGCCGAACTTAACATTGCACTCGAAGAACCCGCTATCAAATGGTAGGGTACGTATATACCAAACTCTGAGATATCAACCATGCTTACCGAGCTACCGTTTATTCTTCTTGGGAACGCGCTGTTTTCGGTATTGGGATCCCCAGATCTCGTCCACCCAATATCTCCCGACGTCAGCCCTTCCCATATCCACAGCATACTGTTGAGTCTTACCACTACCTACAAAGTTTTAGTGTCGTTCGATCAAGGCCCTTTTGAAGTTACGGCTTCTGGAGATTCGAAGGCTGTCACGCCCATCGACGAGGCTTGGCGAAAACTCGAAGCGATTATCAAGTCGGTCTTCAATGTTTCCAAGATTAAGTCCGTATATGACAAACACAGTATTGTCTTTGTCGACTGGGTTATAATCAGAGATGACAAGACGGCCTCTATCTTGGGCAAGATCAAATCGGGATACACGCCGACTGTCTCAGCTTACGAAGAGAGGTTAAAGAAAAAGAAAAAATGCCAAGGAAGCTCGGATTCGAAAGCAACGGCGAGCAATCCTGGTCTTGATGTCGATGATTTAGAGGACAAGGTCAGCGTGCTTGACAGTGAGTTGGATCAGTAAAGGATTCGTCACAGCGACTCAGAAAGATGTTTGCTTCTGCAAGGAAGCAGTACGAGAAAGCCAAGGAGGGTGTCAAGAAGACCAAAGGAAAAGTCGAAAAGAAGCACAGTCTGACACTAAAAAATGCAGTACGAGAACGGCGCATTTCCTGGCACGCTTTGATCTCCATGCAAAAAAATCAAAAAGATTTACGGAAAGAGAAGCACAACTTGCAGAATGTAAGTATTAACGCCATATACATCTTTTGCATCGATAAACCGACACTTTTATGTATTAGCGCATCAACGAGCTGATAAAAGCTACTCCTGCAACGCCAAGCACTCATGAGGGTACGTTAACGAGTCGATTAATGATAGTTCCGTGGAGGATACTGGGGAATCTGCTGCCGTTACCATGGAGGCGCAGCTTGCAGAGCACAAAACATTCCCTGCACACGACCGTGTCGGCTGTGAAGACGATAGCCACTATTTGAGCCTAGTCAATCTGGACCAAGACAAGCTCGTTTTCTGCTATAGATAATATGGCCACGTTGTGATGGATCAAACGACAGAATAAAGCAATTTAGTCAAGACAGCTTTACTTCACAGTGTGATGGTGGACCTACTTGGACAAATTTCCATGATGTGCGGTGATTTAATTTTGTATTGGATACGCGAGGTCAGACCAAAAACTCCTTACGCATAAACCTGCTTTGCTCACGAATTGTCACCTTGGTTACCGTCTGATCTATACCATGACAACCACAATCCCCACGGACAGTACATGTTTTTTAGAGCTAAAGGTTGGTTTCAGCTTGAAATTTTTTTTGACCATTCTATTTGACACTCACATTTTTGACAGAGCTGATGCAATTCATTGATACCACGAAAAAACCAACATTGGATGGCTTTGTTGCAAAGTATTCTGGATCCATTGCTCAATTTTCTGCAGTGACCGGCGCAACAAGTCCTGTAACATTATACAACTTATGGCGGAGCAGATTCATCTTACAAGTCCGTAATTCGAGACCGACACTATCTCTCAAGTTTGTATCCCTTCTTGCCGCATGCTTGTATGCTGCAGATTACACGTTGATCCAGTTTGTTGATATCATGATATGCTTTCTTTTCCAACTCTAGACCTAGCAAGTATAACCAAGCGACCTGGACTCCGTTATACACAGAGACCAATGAACTGGTAATGTTGACAGTGAGGGTTAACTATTAATATAGTGATTAAAAAAATTTAATAAATTTTTTATAATCTATAATTTCTTTTTATATATCAAAAAACAAAAACAAATTATTTTTTTTTTCTTTAAGTCCTTGAAAATATAAATCTTTGATTTATATTTAGCGACTAAAAGGAGCTATAAACTGGGGGTTTATCCCCCTTTAAGTCTTTTTATTAAATAAAAAAAGAATTTATTCTTTTTAGTGAAACGAAGTTTCACTCTTTTTAATAAATTAAAAAGTAAGAAGCAAGGCTTCGCCTCAAAAATTGTAAATTTTTGATTTAAAAAAAGACTTGAAGGGTCTAAAGACCCGAAAAGTATTAGCTTCGCTAAAATAAAATAAATTTTATTTTTTAGACTTAAAGAAAAAAAAATAAAATAATTATTTTTGTTTTTGTTATTATTATTATTAAATATGGAAATATAAAAATATAATTCTAGAATTTAATTTTTAATATTTCTCAAATGAGATAAGAAAACATAATAATTTTTTACAATCTAGTGATTGAAAAAATTTTATAGTTTTCAAAAATATTTATTAATAATGTTTATTCTTCAGTGACACTTCAAGTGTAATGCAGACTACTGTGGATCGCTGTTACTAATATTGAAGTACGTTTTGCACAGCGCACCACAGCCCAAAGATTTTGGATCGAGTCATACAGAACATTAGGTGCCAGTAGCTCAGCAGCAGGCACAGCTGTGTCAAATGTACTTCGGGGAAGTGAAACTTCAACTTTTCGTGGTGATGCAAACCCTTTGGTTTCTCATGACTATTCTGGTGAGCCGTCTCTTGCTGAAAATGATCCCGAATCAGATAATGATAAAGTGATCAAAGTCTTTCTAAAATACGTAAGCTGAAAAAAAGCGATGTGCGACATGACAAAGTAGGAGTGTGTATGACTTATGAGCACTTTTTAATAGACCAATGGAGTCATGCCCAACGAAATGGAAAAAGACTTTTTAACTGTAATCAGCAACAAGAACGATACAGTCTCTGATAAACTGCTTGGGATCGCTGCAAAGAATCTGCTCATCGAGAGCGGCTGGGACAACGACACGGAAATTTGCACAAAGTATTATTTTTGTACTTGTGTTTTGGAACGATACAGGAAACAGCTAACTATATCGTGGGACTTATTTATATAGACTTGCCCTGTCAAGCATTTGTAACTTCATAGCACCAAGAATATCTGAAATCTTCCAAAAGTCATTTACAGCACAAGAGGTTAATCACCTTAAAAACGCTGAAAACCCTACTCTCCGTGGATTATCCGATGCCTGCCTTGAAATCTTTAGGGAAATCATCAAGAGGTAATGGAAAATGAAATCCATGAAAAGGCTTGGATATGTACTCATGTGTGATTTTTACACCAACAATTGTTAAATAGCATGAACATTGATGCCATCCTCACAGAGATCCATACTTTACAAGCAAAATATGCCAGAAATCGAAGCTCGGACATGTATATCATGCTTGGAATCCTGCAATCTGTGTAAGTAAAATAAAATAGTAGATATTAGCAGCATGAATGTTTGGAATTATTGAGTATCTAACTAAACATTTTGTCTTAATTTAGTGTTGAACAATTTGACGACTGGCGTCATGACAACAGTGAAAGTGAAACCACCGTGTACCGAAGATTCGTTGTTCTGCTGGACAAGCTGTTACGGAACACTAGTATTATGTTGCAAGAGTAAGAGTTTAAGAAGACCATAGTGTGCTTCAGCGACAAAAATTGGAACTTCTAGGCTGATTTTGTTCTTTGTTTGATAGCGGCGAAAATGCATCCAATGCAACCAAGGACGCAATGATTCTGCTTCAATCTCTGACTAGCTCGATCACAACCACCAACGAAAGAACTGAAATGAGCATGTATGGCAGGAAGATTGATCTTCTAGCTATCACGAAATCAAGGGAGCAAAATGTGGAGCTCACGTCGAGCGAATGGAAGCGTGAAGGGGTATCAGAATCAATTTCATTGAAACAACAGTGCAAGAGTATTCGTACAAACGCTGCTATCCTATCGAAATTGATGCTGATTGGTGATCTAGGACACCTTGTAGCAATGGATTGGCTTGGTAAGTACAAAAGTATCTCTTCATTTAAATTATCATGGTAATAGTTTCTAATGAAGTGAATGATTCGCCATAGGAACATCTGGTTACGGATATTCTTGAAAGTTTGTGGAAAAGTCATTCGTCGCTCAAACGATCAGTTGTCTGGTAATCCCAAAGCAAGCTTCTGAGCTAGGCGGTTTTGAACAAACACTTGACTTCATGTTTAAGTAGAGGGTAATTCAAGGATACCAGGAAACATGTCAACTTGTGTCACTAATTTTTGTTTATATTGTGTGTTTTAGAACTTTCTACTGGCAACGGCGAAACAAGTTGGAGAACAAATGATGAGAAATAATGAAAGCGTGCGCGGGATCGTGGACTTACCACCGAGGAGAAGCAGATACACTGAATTGCCACCGAACATCATAATCACACCTGGAAAAAAGCGCGGTTTTGATCAGGTCGATGAGTGAGCATGAGGTTAAAGCACATTTGTACACATTTATATCACACAGCTTCACCCATCACATCTATATCCCCAAAAGTATATCTCTTTATGTAGTATCAAAAAACATCAACATCAAGTTCATGTAAATAACAGAAGGAACGAATGTTTTGACTACCTTTTTCTGAACATCAAGCTACTATCAGCTATGTACCAAAATACGCATATAGGACGTGATTTTAAAGCCAACATTATGTATTGGAATGAACAATACGACGAAAAAGTGTGGTTTATTTTAATGACCAATGAACGCTGTGCTCCGTGGAGGCAAGAAGTGGCAAATGGTAATTTTAAAAGAGCGATGATATTTAAATTTTATCTGAATTTGCATAATAATTTTTTTAAAAATTGAATTTTTATAATATATATAAAACTAATATCAAAATGGAAGAGACACATAAAAAATTTACATCAAAAATTAAAAGATCAATTATAATTAATTTTATGATTGAAAACAATATTAAAAATGTTAATATTCTATATGATGAAAAAAATAAACAAATTGATTTTGAAATATCATATAATAATGAAAATGGTCAACAAGGAGAAAAATATCAAGAATATTATAAAATAATAAAAAGAAGAGGAAGTAAAAGAAAAAAATATAATAATAATAAAACAAAGAATTTATCAACACCATCTGTTACAGATAATAGTTCATTAGAAGGTAATAATGTATTAGTAAGTAATGAAAACTATAATAGAGAAAAAAATATTGATGAGCTATTAACAGATAATAGTGAAATAGAAGATAATAACAATGATAGTAATAAACGAAGTCTTTCAAATCTTAGTACTCCTGATATTAGTAATACAAAAAAGAAAAGATATAATAATAATAATAAATGTAGAAATTTTGAATACAATAGATGCTATGTAAAAGAAGATAGTAATAGAACATATTGTGAATATTGTTTAGAAGATAGTTATTATACAGATGATGGTAATTCAGATGATAATAATTCAGATGATGATAATTCAGATGATAGCAATTCAGATGATGATAAAGAAGATAATGATAGCAATAACATTAATAAAAATTTTCAAAGAGATGAGTATTGTTTAAAATTATTATACAATATATTAATGTATGAAAAGAAATTATTAAGTGAAAATAATACTAATAAATTAAAAAATGTGGATATAATATTTGATAGAATAAAGAGTATTTTTATTGATCTTGGATTTTCGTTTATTTTCAATATAATACATAATAACTGTTTTTAACATTTCAAACAAATTATGATGATATCTTTTTCTAAAAGCATAATCTAAAAAATACAATGTATATAGCTCAGAATCTTTTTTTATATTGGGCATATGTTTTCTTAAATGCATCCAAAAACCTTCCATACTGTTAGTATGTATTGTTGAATCATTTGGATCCACAAAATATTTTGAATGATCAACTGCTTTATGAATATATCCCATCTTATTTAAGCTTGTATAAGATCGTAAGCCATCAGTGATTATAGTTGTTCCTTGATAAACTTGATCCTTGATTATTGGTAATAATGTTGACATTTTTCGATTTTGAACAGGCACCAAAAAGAACAGATTTGAATTTCTTTGATAACGGCCTAATATCCACATATGTTTTCTGTATCGTTTATGCTTTGCAGTAGTAATTTTTGTTTTGCCAAAACAGCATTCGTCGATTTCAACAATTTCATCTTGTCCACCAATTACATTTTTCCATAACACCTGATTGTTAAGGATCCATGTTTTTATCGCAAAGCATATTTTTGAATATAATCGTGTAACTGTTTCATCATCGATTCCCATTTGTAGAGACACTTTTATAGGAGAAGGATCTATATAAAAAACAAATTAATATTATATATGTTATATTATAAAAGATACATACCAATCATCCATTGCCGTAATAGTTCTACTATTTGTATTGGTCGTAGATTTGTTTTTTCAAATAATGTTTCGGCAAATACACCTTTTCTAATATTATCTGGATAACAATAAAATCGATATCTTTGATAATATTTTCTAATAGATAATGGTTTTTCGCATTTTTTACAAATAAAAGGTTTTATAAGTCCTTGCTTTTGTAAATAGATTATAGCTTGTTCATCGTCGTAAAGTGTTCGAAATAGTGTTTCATTTGATTTAAACATTTTGATAAAGAAAAAGAAAAAAAGTGTTTTATGAAAAATCAAAAAAAAAAATTTTTATATAACTTTATATATTTTGTATAACTTACCAAAGAACGCTTGTAACCAAGATTTCGGAGCACAGCGTTCATTGGTCATTAAAATAAACCACACTTTTTCGTCGTATTGTTCATTCTAATACATAATGTTGGCTTTAAAATCACGTCCTATATGCGTATTTTGGTACATAGCTGATGGTAGCTCGATGTTCAGAAAAAGGTAGTCAAAACATTCGTTCCTTCTGTTATTTACATGAACTTGATGTTGATGTTTTTTGATACTACATAAAGAGATATACTTTTGGGGATATAGATGTGATGGGTGAAGCTGTGTGATATAAATGTGTACAAATGTGCTTTAACCTCATGCTCACTCATCGACCTGATCAAAACCGCGCTTTTTTCCAGGTGTGATTATGATGTTCGGTGGCAATTCAGTGTATCTGCTTCTCCTCGGTGGTAAGTCCACGATCCCGCGCACGCTTTCATTATTTCTCATCATTTGTTCTCCAACTTGTTTCGCCGTTGCCAGTAGAAAGTTCTAAAACACACAATATAAACAAAAATTAGTGACACAAGTTGACATGTTTCCTGGTATCCTTGAATTACCCTCTACTTAAACATGAAGTCAAGTGTTTGTTCAAAACCGCCTAGCTCAGAAGCTTGCTTTGGGATTACCAGACAACTGATCGTTTGAGCGACGAATGACTTTTTCACAAACTTTCAAGAATATCCGTAACCAGATGTTCCTATGGCGAATCATTCACTTCATTAGAAACTATTACCATGATAATTTAAATGAAGAGATACTTTTGTACTTACCAAGCCAATCCATTGCTACAAGGTGCCCTAGATCACCAATCAGCATCAATTTCGATAGGATAGCAGCGTTTGTACGAATACTCTTGCACTGTTGTTTCAATGAAATTGATTCTGATACCCCTTCACGCTTCCATTCGCTCGACGTGAGCTCCACATTTTGCTCCCTTGATTTCGTGATAGCTAGAAGATCAATCTTCCTGCCATACATGCTCATTTCAGTTCTTTCGTTGGTGGTTGTGATCGAGCTAGTCAGAGATTGAAGCAGAATCATTGCGTCCTTGGTTGCATTGGATGCATTTTCGCCGCTATCAAACAAAGAACAAAATCAGCCTAGAAGTTCCAATTTTTGTCGCTGAAGCACACTATGGTCTTCTTAAACTCTTACTCTTGCAACATAATACTAGTGTTCCGTAACAGCTTGTCCAGCAGAACAACGAATCTTCGGTACACGGTGGTTTCACTTTCACTGTTGTCATGACGCCAGTCGTCAAATTGTTCAACACTAAATTAAGACAAAATGTTTAGTTAGATACTCAATAATTCCAAACATTCATGCTGCTAATATCTACTATTTTATTTTACTTACACAGATTGCAGGATTCCAAGCATGATATACATGTCCGAGCTTCGATTTCTGGCATATTTTGCTTGTAAAGTATGGATCTCTGTGAGGATGGCATCAATGTTCATGCTATTTAACAATTGTTGGTGTAAAAATCACACATGAGTACATATCCAAGCCTTTTCATGGATTTCATTTTCCATTACCTCTTGATGATTTCCCTAAAGATTTCAAGGCAGGCATCGGATAATCCACGGAGAGTAGGGTTTTCAGCGTTTTTAAGGTGATTAACCTCTTGTGCTGTAAATGACTTTTGGAAGATTTCAGATATTCTTGGTGCTATGAAGTTACAAATGCTTGACAGGGCAAGTCTATATAAATAAGTCCCACGATATAGTTAGCTGTTTCCTGTATCGTTCCAAAACACAAGTACAAAAATAATACTTTGTGCAAATTTCCGTGTCGTTGTCCCAGCCGCTCTCGATGAGCAGATTCTTTGCAGCGATCCCAAGCAGTTTATCAGAGACTGTATCGTTCTTGTTGCTGATTACAGTTAAAAAGTCTTTTTCCATTTCGTTGGGCATGACTCCATTGGTCTATTAAAAAGTGCTCATAAGTCATACACACTCCTACTTTGTCATGTCGCACATCGCTTTTTTTCAGCTTACGTATTTTAGAAAGACTTTGATCACTTTATCATTATCTGATTCGGGATCATTTTCAGCAAGAGACGGCTCACCAGAATAGTCATGAGAAACCAAAGGGTTTGCATCACCACGAAAAGTTGAAGTTTCACTTCCCCGAAGTACATTTGACACAGCTGTGCCTGCTGCTGAGCTACTGGCACCTAATGTTCTGTATGACTCGATCCAAAATCTTTGGGCTGTGGTGCGCTGTGCAAAACGTACTTCAATATTAGTAACAGCGATCCACAGTAGTCTGCATTACACTTGAAGTGTCACTGAAGAATAAACATTATTAATAAATATTTTTGAAAACTATAAAATTT